GGTAAGGTGCTGGCCAGGGTGGGTGTTCAGGAACTAACTTCTGAGTTAAACTGGATTACTTAGGGAGGAAGTTGTCCTTGTCCAGTTTTGGAAATCCCAATGCAGATCTCAAGGTTGTGCCTCCAATTATTTAGAAAGATGATCCCCAAAAGTGAAATTACCAATACTTTTTTCTCTGGAATTAAATTTGCTATTTTTAAAGTGTATTTGGAGGGAAACGCAAAAAAATACAGGAAATAACTAAAAGTTAACAGATTCATGAAGAAACAGGTTACATAACCCTTCCAAGATATTTAAGCATGCTACAATGTCTCTACAACAAAGGCACCATGGTTTTACTTCCTGGATAGAAAGTTGATCAAAGAAACAGAATAATAACACAGAGACAGGTCTAACTGGATTTGGAAATTTAGCAAAAATAAAAGGGAGCATACCAAGCTTGTGGGTAGGAGATTACATTTTTAAAAGTAGTGTTGTGATAACTGGGCCATCTGATGGGAAATGATGTAATAGACCCATTCCTCTTGCTACAAACCAGAGTAAATTCTACATGATTGAGGATTTGAAATGAACAATGAGTCTATGTATATATTAAAAGAATAGGTTAATTCCTTGGTAATCTGAAAATAGGTAAATACCAAAGGTGAAGTACAAAGCTCAATGACAAGTTGGGACAAAATATTTGGAACGTACATCCCAAAGTCTTAGTACCTACAACATGTAAATGGCTTTCAACAATAGCAATGAAGGCAAATAACATCTCTACACAGAACTTGGCAAAGCTAAAAAATAGGTACTCCTATACACCACTGGTGGAAATGCAAGATGGTGCCTTCACTGTGAGGAGAAAATTTGATAATATGGAGTAAAATCACGTAGCTACTACTCTCTGACCTAGTAGGAATCTATCCAAAAAATAGTCTAGCAAAGAAATGTAAAAGAAATTTGTAACATGATTTGTAAGAGGAAAAGACTAGGAACTGTTGGGATTGGTTGAATAAACTATGGTACAGACACTCAAAGGTGAATCACGTGTTGGTATAAAAGAATGAGAAATAGCTTCATATGCAAATACTGAGTGATCACTAAAATACATTTTCAGGTAAGAAATTCAAGATGGAAAATTGTATCAGTAAGAGATGAGGGGATATAAATATGCATGCATGCTTATTTATATTAAAATAGAGAAGGTTAATTCAACATAATTTCATTAGAAACGCAAAATATAAAAAATGAGGAAAAATAAAAAAGATGATAGAAAAGAGGGAGCTGAAGTTTGTAGATATGGGAATGGGGAAGAGAGGACAGCTGAGAGGGGAAGGGGAGTAAAAACCATTAAGAACTGGGGCAGGGGACTTAGCTCAGTGTCACCACACCTGCCTCGCAAGCGCAAGATCCAGAATTTGATCCCTGGTACCAAACCAAACCAAACAAAACAAAACAAAATATTAAGATCTTATATGTACATGTACCAGTTCCCCAAGAAGAATGCCATTATTACATATCACAAGCACATACCAATAAAAGAATCAACATCATTTTTAAAAATGTTGGCTTATAGAGGAATAAGCAGACAAGTCATAGGGAATAGAATAGAAGGTGAGCTTTTCAGTATATGTTTTATTTTGTGGATTTGATCCTAAAAGAATGCAAATATTTTTGCAATAGTAGAGAACAACATTTACAGAATCAATCCCTAAATATCTAAATAAAACAAATGAACTTAACTATATTGAGTTGACAAAATGATATCCACAGCAATAATTTCAAATAACGTGAGAACACAACTTGACTTTATATTCTAATGAAAAGATGCAAAAGTAATCTTGAACTGTTTTTAGAAAATTATTCGTGTATGTATTTATAATTATTTGGAAGCTATTGTGTATATTGTGGGATAAAGAACAGTAATTTGGAGCTCGGAATTTTTTGGTGCAAATGATATCAACATAAAATTGATAAGACAAAGTAAAAGCTGTAGTTCTGAATTTATATTGGGCTTTTCAGTATTGATCCACTATTCATTTTATGTGTGAGTTTGTGTTTTCTTCTATTTTAAGCCTAGCAACATTGATGAACCCACTAAGAGTGAGAAAAACTAAAAGACCCTTTGAATCCAATCCCCCACTGAAAATAAAACCTGGCTTCACAGAGAAATGATCATTTGAGGCGGAGAAAATAGCAATATAACTCTGGGGCATCTTCTCAAAACCACCACCACAACAACAAAAAATGATCAAAACCACAACAGTGGTGTGAAAAGAACTCAGAAGTCACCTTGAAAGATGGAGAAGCTGAGGGTTAGAGGACTATGTTTAATTCTGTGCAGGGTTGCCAATCTCAGTGTTGTTATACAGATAAACATCTATTTCCTGGTGAGGTACTCGGGATTATTTGAGAGTAATAAGATTTAAAAAATTATAGTTGCAGAAATCTAGTACACAAAACATACAGTGAGGGATGGGTACAATGAGAAATTGCAACTTTAAATCTAGATTGTAGATACTTGGGTATTTGCCGTGTTTCTTTCTGCTCTGTACATTTCAGATATTTCATAAATGACATTTTAAGGAGTAAGATAAAATAGCCAGGTTCTGTCTTTTAGCCTCTTCATTTAAGTGTGAATTCTCTCTTGATAATATTTTTTTCTAAATTTCATAAGTTGAATGTAATAATATAATAACATTAAAAATCAAGAGAAGCAATTTGCAACACGATAACTTGTTCATAACTCACAGCAGAAAACAAAGGGCACTTTACCAGCACTCCTTGCATTTTGATTTAAAACAGTTTAATGACCAACATTATTGATCCAGGCATAGCTCAAGTGATTGTGATCATTTCAAAAATCTCTAATCTACCAGAGACTGGACATGTAAGAGGCTCTTATGGGCCTTGAGTTGTAAGTGTCCAGAGGTGAACTGTAAAATGTGGTTTGATTCTCCCCTCCGTCAGACCCGGGCCTCGGGCAGCTTCCTGATTGCACAGGTCCTTCCTGCGTGTGGCAAGGTCCTCAGCACGGGGGGCAGCCTGGGCCTTCCATGGGACTTCTTAGCAAGAAGAAGTCCTGGACTTCTTGGACGATTAGCTAGAGTTGGCAGGTCCCTTCACCTCTCCAAATAATTCATTAACTGCTCAGTTTAAAATAGTGAGAGAGGGTTATGTCCATTATACCTAAAGCTGAAACTTTTCAGAAGTTGTTTTTTTTTTTTTTTTAAATAAAATGTCACAGGAGACCATGACACACAGAGTGAGAAAAATCAGTGTGGCTCTGGTTAGAGAATCTGTAGGGGACAAGAAATGTGGGGAGCTTTCTGGGGCCCAGGATTTGCACCCCCAAATATCCATCCCACCTTCCCAGGATGGCCCCTTAGGCAGCTCAGGGGAACCCTAAAACTCCCAAATGACTTGTGAACATCCATTAACAAATTCACCCTTAGGTACATGTGCACCAAATTGTAGCAATTATATAAAGGAGGTAGGGGTCCCTTGGGCGTGTATGTGTGCCCACAAACAGGCCAGGGAGAGGGAGAAACAGCTTTTAAGAGGCGTCACAGAGAAACACGTGTTGGCTCAGGACCCAGCCCGGACTCCAGTCACTAGCAGGGTGCACACATGTGGGTCAGAGGTGCCTTGTCCTCCTCAGGGTGGGCACGCAGGCAATTGCCTGTTATATTTGGGGCTTGGACACCCAAGACTTGGGTCCCACCTCCCAGAGCAGCTTCTGCTCAGAAATCAGGTTTCCTCAGCCCTAGGCCTCTTCCTTCAGAGCTGCACCGCAGCCCCAGAGGACAGGTGGTTTCTCTGAGTATTTAAAGGTGTGATTCAGCTTGGCATCCTTTCTATGCCTTCCTGAGAGTGTGGTGAAACCCCTTGGCCCACCCCAAACCAGCACTACAGCCCCTGCTGGGCGCCACCCTCTCCCCAGGACAAGTGCAAATGTCCTCATCTCAGGCAGTGACATAGGACACATTCCAGACAAGGGGACACGTTCATCATGCACAGAGCATAACTGCTGACACATGTTTCCCTCCACCCTGCCCCGAGTGACTCAGTGGGAGCCCTAAGCATCCCTCTTTCATCCTTCTCCTCCTCTAAGCCAGTCTGCTGCAGCCGGCTTCCTCTCTGCACAGCCCTGCCCCAGGCCCTCTTAGTATAAATCATGACCCAGAAAAGTGCCTGCAGCCTGGAAGCTACTGACCTCCAGGCTCACTTTTTACCAGGCAGTTCAGAAGAGGACACTGCACCATTCTGTCCTGGCGCAGTAAAGAAGCCAGGGCTGTGACCATGGTCAAGACAGGGACATAACCATGTCTAGGGTTCCTGGGCTTGGAATATGTTTACAATTTCTCTCTGCATTGAGAGAGTACAACTGCAATTTAATAAGTGCCTATAATAGAATAATAAACACACATGAGCTTTTTCTCTACACTTAGAGAATGGGTTGTTGTGATTCTCTAAAATACACTTTCCTATTTAAGGGCATCTGAAATCATGCAACACACTTAAATATCTAAAGTGTTATTGATTGATCACAGTTGGAAATGGTCTTGTTTGAGCCTAAACTTAAACATATGCACATCAATCAGCTGGCATATTTCATTGCGTGTCAGAGCCTGTGTTTGGCATGTGAGGCGGAGAAGGGAACTCTCCTTTTGCACCTGTGTGGATGGTAAAATAAAAAGGCACAAAGTTATTTGACATCTAAAAAGTGACAGGTGTAGATGTTCATTTGGAATATCCCATGTGTTATTAAAATACACTGTAATCTATGTTGAGAATGAAGGATTGGAGTCTTAAAGTAAGTGAAAAAGAAGTCAAGAGACATTTCAAAAATAAAGGCATGAGAATCATGACTCGTTAATGTATTGCAATGTACTTAAAGTTTTTAAAAGCATACATGTGGGCGGAGATTTATCTCAGTGGCACTGCTCCTGCCTCGCAAGCGCAAGGTCTTAAATACATTCCACGGTACGAAAAAAAAAAAAAAAGCACACATGTAATGCACATATTTAACACATTTAATGTGAAATACATTTAATACAAAATATATTTAGTGTGCTTTAAAGACTGGGTAACAAAAGAGGAAAGCAAAATCATTCTAGGTACTAGAGACATACAGTAATGAAATTTATTTATTTTATTCAAATTTTTCACACATAAAACATAAACATTAATTCATTTACTTTTTAATCTAGCCAATTAGTGCACAAATTCATAAGTGTTAAAATTAAATCACTCTCTTACACAGGAAAGCTCATTCTTCTTGAATTTTTAGCAAAATGTACTCCATCTGTTTTAAACAATCTCCACTTTAAATTTTTCTGGAACATTCATTCTGTGCCCATAGATTCTAACCAGCCCTCCACACCGTCGCTTCCATGCTCATGTGACTTTCCCTTCTGCTTGAATGTTGATGCTTCTCACTGCAACTTTCATGACCAGCTGTTGCATTTAAGATATGGATTCCGATGCAGAAACACCATTTGCCTGGTCGATATGCCTGTCTTCTAGGTCTCACTGTCTTTGCAAATGTCCTCCGATCAAACCTGACTTCCTCTCCAGATTAGCTTCCCCTTCCTGCTCTGTGACTTCCCTTTAGCCCACTGCTAAGTAAGAATTAATTATGGTAACAATAACCTTAATAGCAACAGTAAAAGAATGATAACTCTGCCAAGAACTGTTCTAAGTTCTTTACTTACTGATTTAGTACCCTGAGAAGCAGGTACCACCAGCATAAGTTCATTTTACAGATGAAGAAACTGAGGCACAGGGAGGTCAGGTAAAGCTCCTGAGGTCACAGAGGAAGAGAAAGACTGGCACTCAGATGGGCAACCCAGCCAAGACCCTCACCCACCATGTCACACTGCCTCCATGCTAGGGGCCTTTCAGTCATAAGATTTTTTAAAAATCAAGTGGATACATACCTTTGTTTTTCTTTTCCTATTTAATGGAAAATGTGATCTGGCACCATCCTGAATATAAATATTTACATGAAATCTACAAATTTTGTAGACCATTAAAAGCGAAAGAAGCTGAGAATATCTGAATTAAAGTGTGAGTCTCTCCTGAAAGACACAAAGGCGCTTGGGACTGCCTTTAGAAAGTTCCCAAGAAGGGGCCCTATAGCTTAGCTGGTCAAAGCGCCTGTCTAGTAGAAGGTTCCCAAGAATAGGTCTGCATAAGCAACCTCTGCCCTGGGCCTCACTGGGGCTCCAGGAACTGTTGCTTTGAACAGGGACCAGGAGAAGGAAATGTGTGCTGGGGTGCAGGCCCTGCTTGCAGTGGGCTCTTACCTTGCTCACCCCTGCAACTCCTACATCCTCACATCCCCAGCCCCACCAAGATCCAAGGTGGCTAGAGATATGGAAGTAAGACAGCATTCCAAGGACTGCCACCCACTGGTTTCTAAAGAATCCTTCTTCCTGAGTTGAAAATCCCTTAGTCTAAATGAACTGTTAGCACAGAAGCTCTTAGCACAGTTCCCTTGTTGTCAGGCACAGTTGGGTCACACTTGCTGACTATGGGATCAGCTGCCCAATGTGGGGTCGGAGGCTGCAGCTCTTTTGAATTCCAAGGTCTTCCAGAAGCACAGAACCAGCTCAAGGTTTAGTCTCATCCCTGACAACTTAATGACACATCTCATCTTCAAACAGTAAGTGGGAATTGTAGTTAAATGTTTCAAATGCAGGTCTGTTCTGAACAGGCTCACACACTCAGTCCCCAGGATCACTAGAGGTCTTTGTGACACTCAGCTAAATGTCAAGATACTTCAGCAAGAACAGGCAAACCCTCTGCTCCGCCCCTGTCTGGCTTGATCACTTTTGCAGGCATTAAGTAAAGAAGGTTTTTCCAGAACCTCGAGTTATAGGAAAGAGATTCACCAGCCTTCCATTTGAGAACTCTGTGTAATTTCAAAAGCTTTAGTGATTGTGGTAAGAACGTGAAGTCACCAACAGGTGCAAACTGAATTAAGATTATTTTAATTTTCCTTTCCACCAGTGCCTCGTGGAGTCCACTCTCAAGTTCATACCTGACTTCGTTGGACATGTAACTTTTACTGAGGACAATGATCAGTCTTCGGCTTTTCTTGATCAGTGAATGGATTTCATCAACAACAGCTGAAAACGAGATGTGTTGTTACAAGAGTCGACATGACATAAAAATTAATTTTTATATATGATCCTTTTTATATTATTTAGTTGTTAAGCTTATTAATAAGTCAAATCACTTGTTCTCAATTTTAATTTTATCAAAATAATCGTGTAATGACCACCTACTCAGCATTTCCTCTGTGCCCTCCCTTCCCTGAAACTTTCCCTGAGAGTTTTATGTATATGACCTTGTTTATCCTCATAATGAGCCTAGGAAGTAGACATTGGCATCCTGCCCATTTTACCAACAAGGAAGCCAAACCCCAGAGCAGTTAAGTAACTTGTCTGGAGTCCCACAGCTAGTAAATGGCAAAACTAGATGGAGTACATTGTCACACCCACCACACCATCCCGCCTCTCCACATCCTGAAATCAAAATTTAAAGATTAAAAAGCAAACAACCCTAAAAGGGGGGGGGGAAACCCACAGCACCCTAAACTAAACTAAACTTAACCAGCCATTATTCATTATTTTAGACCCGAGTTGGCCAGTTTTTTTCTGCAGAGGGCTGGATATTTTGGGTTTGCAGGTCATCTTGTCTTTGTCCTCACTACTCGACTCTGCTATCTTACCTCAAAAGCTGCCACAGACAGCAGGTGACTCAGCAAGGGTGCCAGCCTGATTTGACCCAGGGTGGTAGCGTGCCAACCCCTGTTCTAGACCTCAGAGATTTCAACCAAACATGATTACAACTGAATATACAAATTGTCCTTATTATTATGTAAGAGCTCAGAAAAAAATCTATTTTGAAATTACTCCCAGAAAATAATATAAATATACTAAACTTGATGTAAAGTGGTGGATAAATGCTTTTGTAATAACAACCTTTTTAGACACAAAGAACTGCCACACAAAAATATCACAGCATGATATGCATGATGATGTGGCACATTATTCCGTTTGAGAAGTTGTTCATTATTAAACTATAGTATATTTTGTCTTTCTAATTAGTAATATTTACCCTAAGTTTTAATATGAGGGGGAAATGTTACTTTTTCTTGTTTACTTAAATAAATTCTTCCTTTTATCGTCTGTGCCTGGCTCAAAACTTAGCCCAGGGTTGATGGTATTCAAGAAATGCTGGGTGAATAAATGTTTGATTGCCACACTGAAGTCATTTCTACTTTTTATTTGCATCATTATCCACAGTAATTTGACACTAGTTTTCTAATGTTTCCTCTTAAAGGGCTTAGAAAAAAAATGAGAATGTTAATAAATGTCTTTGATTTTAATTGTAATTTGCATCAGTATATGTGCTATGGCCATTTGTATTCATATGTTAATTTTAAGACATTGAACTCCATAACTATAATCTGATGGGAATCACCAATTTTTTTGTGTGTATTTATCTTATCCCGATTCCTCTATTTCCTACTGTAATTTTGTCTCCAGCATCAACACCATGAAAAGCGTTTTCTGGTAAGAATCCTTCGTGTGTTAGCACCCAGACATCACGTATTAAATTAGGAATCTATTCTGAGGAACAAGACTCTTTAGCTGGGTGTCATTTCCAGGTCAGCACCACAAGGCCATACTGACTGTGTACTTGGCACTGAAAAGGAGGTGCCTGCTGCTTCCCTGGAGAACAAGGAGCAGAATGAAGAGGGCCACAGAGGAGGGATCATCAGAAGCATAATAGTTGGTTTGTTTTCTCATCATTTATTATCATAAGATAATCAAATATTAACCAGATCACCCTGGCTAACTACTAATCAACTTACCCGTTTTTTTCTAGTCTTCGGGACCTTTTTCATTTGTTTATATTTTAGGAAAACTAGAGAGTCATCTATGCAGCTAAGCAACTCATCTTGAAAAAAGAAAATGTCTACCGGTTTTCTGTCTGGTATCCCCTGTCTTACCTCCTCCAGGCAGGACATCCCTTTCAAATATGCATAACTTATACCCAAAATGTTTCTCCAACACCGTGGGCAAAGTCTCCACAGCAAAAGTGTACTCTTCTCCATGCTCAGGGCGATATTCTCTTAGGTAGGACACAAAAGCATCAAACGTTTTGCCATCTAGGAGATAAGGTTGACTCTTTACTATGTAGATCAAAGTCGTTTTAAGCAAAACTTCGAGGGAAGTTGAAACAAGTGTAGTACAGTTGGAAAAGAAAAGTTAAATCCAGCATTGTCAAATCTCAGACACAAACTGAGAAGCCAATCAGCCAAATGTCTTTTCAAGCATGTACTGTAAGAATCCCAGTGTTTGACACCACAGAGGGGTAGGGAGAAATACGAGAGATCAATCAGGGCAGTAAAGGGATGGAAAGACGACAAGGCCAAGGCGCCTGAGGGAGATCAAGCCTCTCCTGATCTTGATTCCTGTTGCTTGATTCTATAACCACCTCCTTTCTACCCTCACAAAGATGCCCCCTCTCTGGAAGGAAAGACAGAAATGCAGTACCAAGTAGAAAGAACAATGAGGAGATGAAAACACTCACTGTACACATGCTATGCTAGTCTAAAATATTATAGGACATTAAACACCAAAAGGAAAACTTCTGGTCCACTGAAAGGTTCTTGGTGATGTCCACATCTGCTCCTACTTAGTTCTTCATAATGCACCAGTATTCAAATAACTAATGGACATATTCAGGAGAAAATGTGTTGCCTACATGACAAAGCCCATTTTCCTTACTGGGTACATGAAAAACTAAAATCATCCAATTCTCTCTTTAGCTTCACCCAATCTCTTTGAGAAGACAAGAGAAACAAAACACAACAACTTGAAAAATATTACTAGCAGAACCTAAGCAGAGTAAAAGCAGCATTATAAAAATAAGGCAGATGAACAGAATAGCCTGGGCAGAGACTGAGCAGTGATCTCAATGGAAACACTTCCTGAGTGAGGGAAATTGTGAGCTAAGTCCTAAACAGTGAAATCAGTGCTAATCAGGATGGGTAGAAGGGAAGGAATGGTGGGGAATGGCCCATCCTTATCCTGTGACAACTGGGTAGATGGTGAAGAGGGACATTTATGCCTACCTATATTATCAGGATTTGCTACTGTACTGAAGGCTAGAAATGATGCAACCCTTTATAAAAATACACTAGGGTGAAACCATTCTAGGCCCAGGTCCTTTATGGTGTTACATGATTGACTTTCAGCTGCCAAGTGCAACATCAACTGTCTTCAGCCTCTCAGGACAATGCTTTCAGTTTCTATCAGTTCTTCCTACAGCAATGTGGTTTCACAGTTCAAGACACAACCTACTATTGATCTAAAGCAACTGCTTTTCAGAATTGCAGGTATATGAAAGATAGGAAATTTGGTAAAAATTTCTGACATACATACATGGAGGTTGGAAAAGTTGACAAAAATAAAACCAGTGGTTGGTTTAATCAGTATGTAGTTCTCCTGCAGAAGTCTCTTAGATTGCTGTGAAATGTGGCATTTACTAGGTGGATATGAGGTAGTGTTTCTGCTAGTATTTACTATGTCAGTGATAAGAACAGCCACCAAAAGGTAAGACAACCAAATGACCACATTCTTTTCAAAGTCACATTGTTTTTCACAGTTAGAATGCAACTAACTGGAATAAACTGGGAAGATATTTCAGCCAAATACAGATTTATATCACATGTGATACCTCTTTGCTCTTAAAAAAAATTAGTTTTTCAACTACTGCTTTGAAATTCCATATTTCAAGCAATTCCCTTCTTGTAATATAAATCTGCTAGTGCAATGTACTGGATTGATTTATAATTAATATCTTGAAACTTAGAAGACTTACCATCACTTTTAAATATCAGAAAACTGAGGTGTAGAGTCACCAGAAGGACATAGTAATAGATAAAAACTGGTGGATCTAGGAGACTAGAACCTGGACCCATTAGCTTCTAGCTCAGGTTTCTCGCAGTCCATCATTTACCCTCTTTTTCCAGGTACTATAATGACCCAGAATGCAATGCAATTCAATGCCAAAAAACTTTATTGACTGTCCATGCTGGAGAAAGTTTGTAAAGGCTGTGTACAAGAGTATGCAGATGTATAATTCCTGGGCTCAACCACTGCATGGCACATTTAGGACATGGTATACAAAAAACATACATACATACATACATACATACATACATACATAAAACAACTACAGAACAATTCTTGGCAATACACAAGTAAGCACAAGAAAAGAGCACACAACAACATTTATCATAGATGATGAATGCTGTGTGATATTTTTTTCCATAGAAAACCTCTCCCACAGACTAAGTCAACAATATAATCAAAATAAAATGAAGAATATTAACCTTAATAAAATGAAGATTAATTCATTTGGTTTACCAATGAGCATATAAAACAAAAAACCCCAGCATTACAAAACCCATTACCTGTTAAGGTTTCATCTCTTCTCATCCAATGTCTGTAACACAGAACCAAGTCCACTCTGTAAACCACACACACAAACGCCAGGCACAAGACTGCCATGGAGACCACAATGGCTGCAATCATCCCTCCAGTAAAGGCATGGCTGGGAATATCAGCTGTGCCTGCTGGCAAAAGAAACAGAACCAGAAAAAGAAAATGTTTGGCCAATAGTATGTTAGTGGTGCCTTCTACCATCATGTGTGGCTGTCAACCTTGGCCTTTATCATTAAGCCAGGGACCTGCCCAACGATCCACAGTCTGCTCCATCCCTCATGTTCCTGCCATTAGTCCATAGTTCTGATCTTTCTACTCCAATTCATAAAGAGTAAATGTATACAGGGACATTCAGAGACCTAAACTGAAAACACTGTCACATTTTTCATTTGTACCTGTGGCATTCAGATTTCTAGGCCAGTAACATACAAGCTTGAGTTGCAAAGGGGTCAAATGTAAATCTCAGCTGGCAAATTGAGCAAACAGATGTGCATGGGTTTGAGAGGTAAAATAGGACTGAGGGGAAATAGGGTTTGAAGTCTGACTCCATCAATTTGTTTGTATTATAGTGTCTTCATGTGTAAAATTAAAATAATACCTGAAGTTTGTTTCACTTACTATTGATGTCTGAGAGAGGAGTAAAGGAGATATTATACAAAATGTAGTTAAATATGCCTGGCACATCATTCTCAGAATTTTAGCAAAGTTTTTTATTCCTTTGGGAAAAGAATTACATTTCCTAGCTTGATTCAGTTTATGCTCACTATAGGTAAATATGAAATTATACAGGAGCATAATATTTTAATATTTCACAATCAACTCACAGTGTGATAATAGTCATACTAACAAGGCAGTATATTTCTTTTCTGAGTTTATTTTTACTTGAAAGTTTTTACTTAATTGATATTATGATAATCATTCTTTATTTGTTCACATTACACTAAAAGCATTTCACTAGGTCATTAAAATTATCATTTACAATACCCCAAGATTCAGATAGACTGCAGTTTTCCCTAAGTATACATAATGCTACAATGACCAATACATCACGTTTGTCTGTGTTTTTTCTTGGAATAAATTCTAAAGATGGGGATATCTCTAGGTTAAAGTGTTACAAACCTCCTTCAAGCTTTTGCCAGCTTAGGTAGCATAATTTTTCATGATGATCTTTCCAGTAAAACTATTAGGATGCAAGTTAGCTTCTAGGGTTACTTATAAGTGAGTCTGGAATGAAGCCCTGCACTGGGTTCCTGTGTCTCTGAAAGGTCTATGCACTCATAACTGTCCCAGACATGTGTGCGTAAACTCACGCACACACAGGCTCACACATGCATGTCCACATGGGCACCCATACTCCCCCAGGGCAGGGGTGGGCTTGGAGACCCTATACCCCAGCCTACATTTGTGGACTCAGCAGAAGGAGAAATGCTCAGGACAGAAGATACCGGGCAGGGACAGGACAGGGCTGGTGGCTAGTGGATGCCAGGGAAGGCAGGAGACACAGGAGATCAACTGAGCAGGACACCAGCTTGAGTCCTCAATGAGCAGGCTTTAGATACTATTGATTTGGCTTATAATTTGGCTATTGATTAAAACTGTGAGACATTCCAAAGCCTAAGTGTGAACTGCTAAATGAGCCTTAGACTGGTGTATAGACAGACTTCCCTATGCCAATTGTCACAATTGAGGTCTCAATGATTGATGAGGTTGTGACATCTTTAATAGCAAGCTGGTACTACAGCTGAGGAATTATGACTCTGCAACCATTCTCTAAGATCAGACCTTAGGTATAGATAACACAGGCGGCTTATTAACTGTGACCTGTCCTTCACAAGAATACATAATTACTCACCTTTTACAGCCTGGCTCATTAGTGCATTAGTTCTGCTATTCCCTGCATCTGCCTTTACCCTCTTGCTATGCTGTGTAATCATAAATACTGACTAATCCAGAGCTGTTGGTCTTAGCCAGGAGAGCTAAGATCAATTCCCAGCCACCCCCCATAATAAACTATTGTTCATTATTCTTTGTTCCTTGTTCTTTGTATATTATTCTTTCACCCTCTGCTGCCCCCTCACTTAGACCACCAGGCATCCCCCGGTAACAGATCAGGCTATCACCCAGACATAACCAGAATTAAGAGATTTGAAGATCTCTTGCTCTCCAGTGCACCAGCCACAGCACACACAACACAGGGACTCCCAGGGGGACAAAGAAACTCAAGAGGACGCTATGACTCTAGAAATAACCGGTCTATATTTCCCTACCTTTGCTGCTGTGTGGCCTGGGGTGGATTTGTCACCTATCAGAGCTCAGGACTGAGATGGGTGCAGTCCTAGAAAAGCTGAGCACAGAGCGTCACAGGACCAACACATGAGGGGTGCTGGCTCCTGTGGGGACCACAAGTAGAACAGTAACAGCCTCTAACAGGCACACAGTGAGAGGCACATGGGCCCAGGACAGCACGGGGAAGGTGGCTTCTGTCTTGTGGGTTCCCACAGCCCCACTAAGGCATGATCCTGTGTGTGTGTGTGTGTGTGTGTGTGCATGTGTGTGCGCGTGTGTCTGTCTCATGCTGTTTTTCTCTCCTCTCTCTTTTTGTATCTCTTTCTGTCTCTGCCTTTGTCTCTGCTCTCTCTCTCTCTGTCTCATCCCTCTTTCTGTCTCCATCTCTCTGCCTCTGTTTGTCCCTCTTTCTCTCACTTCTCCATATCTGTCTCTTCTGTTTCTCTTAGTCCGTCTCTCCCTTTCTGCCTCTCAGATCACTATTCCCTCCACATCCAGAGAGTTGGTGGTCAAGCGTGGGAATGACCAGAGATTAAGAGTTGACAAAGAGAAGCACAGATTTTGGCTCCAGACTCAGCCACATCTGAGCGGCCACTGAACCATGGAACCTAAACTGATGGTGCTGAGAGAAGTCAGAGGTGAGCGAGCCTGTGGCTCTCCAAGAGGGCATCGCTGGAAACGTCAAGAACCCACAGGTCAGGGCCACTCAATGTCCATGGGCCCTGTCCAGGGGCTGCCCAGGGAAGGGGCCTGAGGCACTCTTTGTGGAATAGATGACCACACCCAGGGGTCCACTGAGGCCTGAGCCCTGCACATGCTGGGCACAGGCAGAAGGTATGGGTGTGGGCTCCTCTGACACCCATCTGCAAACTTCCCTGAGCTTATTCTAGTGCAAAGTTTATTTAGTTGCCTCCCCTGCAACCCTCGTCCCCAGCACCTGTGTCCCTGTGCTCTCATCTCTGCATTGGTTTCAAATTTGCCTGTGAGAGCAGAGTACAAATTCTACTTTCATTCTCTAGCTGGGATCAGGATGCAGAAGATTCTAGCCAGAAAGGAGCCCCAGTGCCACCACTGATTTCCCGGAACATAAGTGCATCTGCCACCTTGTGGGAACTTGGTTCCCAAGGAAATGAGGACCTGGCCATCTCTGAGTACAGCTACCTTCTATGTCTCCACACACTCACAGGCACAAAACACTCATACCTTTTCTCAACAAGATGAAGCTTTTGGTATCTGTGGTTCCTTCGTTGACCACAGTACAATTGTATAAAAAATTTAGATTGTTTTCAGTAACTTTCTCAATTCTCAGTATTTGTGAAGCATATGTTTTGCCTTCTGAAGTCCTATAAGAGAAGAAAATAATTTAGCAAAGGCTTTTCACCAGTAAGTTACCCATGAGTGGGGAATCTATAAATGTAAAATATTCAAAGGCAGCTACCACTTGGCTCTTTTAGATCTTCCCTATCTGGGGGCAACTTCTAAAGTGGTCCTCCTGCTGCTCTGTGGAACGTCAGAACAGACAGCAACAGCCTTTTGGAGACCATCTGGGGACAGTGTTGTCAACTACCTAGAGTTTAAATGGCTATAGGATAATGATACTATCAGAGTTTAGATTTATAATGTCCCCTAAAAGCCTCGTGTGTTCAGAGGAGGGGCTTTAAGAAGGTGACTGGATCATGGGGGCACTGCATTCATCAGTGGATTCATCTACTATCGGGTTCAGCAGTGGAATAGGCTATTAGGAGGCAGAGCCTGGTTGGAGGCAGTCACTGGGGTGGTGACTTGAAGGCACTTATCTACCTCCCTGTCTCCTCTCTTTTTTCTCTGCTTCCTGACCACCAGGACCAGAGTAGCTCTCCTGCATGCTGGCTTTCCACCATGCCATTTCTGCCTTGAAGCCGGCCAATCCTATATGACTGTGAGCCAAAATAAACCTTTTGTTCTTTTAATTATGGGTGCAGGGTATTGTCTTAGTTACTTTTCTTGTTGCTGACAACACACCTGACCGCCAAAGTTAAAGGAGGAAAGGTTTATATAGCTTACAGTTTGTAGAGGTTTCAGTCCTTAATCAGCTGCCTCCAAAACCATGTGGCATTGAAGAGGAGAAACAGTTCATGGTAGGCAGAAGGTTGCAAATCAAGGGATGAGCATAGCTCTTTTTATCCTTATATCATATTCAGGCTAATTAGGGCCAGTAGCACTCACGTTCTTAATCCTAGTGGCCTTGAGCCTAGCATTGCACCTTGAATCCATCTCTGTGTCACACACTCTAAATCCAGCTACCTCTGGAAAAGCCACACTTATGACTGCATGAAGCTTTGAGGGGACATCTAGACACAAGCTGTAACAGGTATTGTGTCTCAGCAGTAAAGAAAGTAACTAAAATAGATACTAAGCTGGAAATATTCTTTCTCTGTTGAGCTGGTCTTCCACTCCTCCTAAGATGAGACACAGGTCATTAGAAAGGGGATGGAAAACTCTGATGGAGGACAGCTGCTGAGGAACATCGCTGTCAATGGAATAGCCAGGCCACTCGGCTGAATCCAACACCTGCTGGCCACTAAGCATCTTCCTGGTCTGGAGGAGCCAGACCTTGCAGACAAGTGGCAGAGAGAATCGAGAGGATGCCATGATGGCAGCAGAGAACACACCAAAGAAAAGTAAAAAAGCAGGGGAAAACCAGAAAGTGCAGGTAAGGGGCCAGAAACTTCAGTATCACTGCTCCTCAGAACCTGAATAGTGTATTAAGTACAATAATTACTCATTACAGTAGGACAAAATGTCATTCAGAAAAGATTAAATGACCATCTACTTAGTATGGTTTTTTAACTGATTCTGGACATTCCTTAATGGAAGAATATAGGCTTTTTAAGTACCAATGTGTGTGTTGTTTAGAACTTGTGTGGCACAGTAGTAAAAATAAAGCACTTAACACATTTTTCAAAATCCAAGCCACTGTGGCCTAGCTAACTGCTCTTCTATAAGAAGCTTGGCAAAATCCCACCACTTACATCCTGACTACAAGCTACTCTTACAAGGTGATGATAAAAACTACCATGGACCTTCTCATTGATCTTTTATCTAGCTCAGAACTTCGTAAGAAATTTATGCATAATCCAATTGAGGGTATGGCAATTATAATGATAAAATGTATACAGTATAATGTAAACTAAACCAAAACATCACATCACCTACTTGAGAGTCCAACATCTTTTATATCATGTATATATGCTGTGATCTTTACATATACTGTGATATCTGTTACATGTCACATATGCATACCAAGGTCTTATTTTGTTGTCCTGATGCACATTAGGATCTGGTCCTTTTTCTTTCCAGAAGCTCCAATAAAAATAGTCATTTTCATTCAGCAAAGCAGAACAGTTGAGCTCTACATCTTTTCCTAGGTAAAAGTTGATGGCCATAATTTCATTTTAGAAACCCAGATTTTCCAAACAGTTCAAATTAATATAACCAGTGAACATTAACTTGCTACAAAACACAGTGCTATATGAAAGAGAACAGACATATGCTTTTAAATTAAGAATATAATACTAAAGCAGAGGAATTAGGTAGTAATAACAAGCCACCAACAACGTTATGAATAGCTTTCTCTTTATATATTCACTTTTAAATCAACTATTAAGACATATGGTGACTCGTGACTTCTGTTTCAGTACACAATTCAGTAGATAGTGTGAAGCCAACACTGTCAAGCAACTTCTAGGACAACAAAATGTATAATTTACAAATAAATAACTAAAAACTAAAGTCATCAAGGTGTAGAAAAAAATAAGTAGAAATAGTTAAGCTGCAAGTGTAGTCAGGAAAGAACACTTCCAGAGTGAGTGAAGACGGTTGGCCATTTTATTCCATGGAGCACTGTGCTTGGGTTGGAATAAACAGAAATATTCTCATAGGGAAATGAATCCAAGGAGGACACTGACAGCCACAGAGGCTGGAAAGGTTATTGCCAAGGGCTTGAACTGGGAAAAATGTGACATCTCCTGACTATAAACCTTCTCCCCACTGCCAGCCACCAGAGATTCAGGGTAAATCCAACCCACAAACCTGTATCCCACAACCTGGCTTCGTTCTGAGTGCACTCAGATACTCAACCTCTCATTCTGCCTGCCAAACAGAGGAAAGAGCAAAAACACTCAGAGGAAAAAAGAATGCACATTTCATTCACTTTGATTCACAAAGATCAACAACAACAAGAGACATGCAAAGAGGTAGAAAATGAGACATTGATCAATAGAAAAAATAGATAATAGAAGCAGACCCATAGATGACTGAGATGTTAGCTTTAGCAGATAAAGACTGAACAACTCTTTGAATGAAAATAGAAACAACAATGAACAAGTGGATAAATGATAGACATTTTTAATAAATAAGAGTAATTTTTTTTAAAAAATTGAAAATTAAGAAACAAAAATAAGCCACAAGTGAAAGAAAAGATCACAAGGGAAAATTTTTAAATGTTTGGAATGGAATAATATAAAATATGGTGTATTAATTCATATTAGAAATAGCTAAAATAAGGTTCAGTGAAATGTAAAGTTTAAAATGTACATGCCACAAGACAGGATAATTGAAATTAATTCTTAACTCTCATTGTCAACAAGTTAGAAAAAGAAGTAAAATTTAAGACCAAGTGCAGAAGGAAAGAAATAACAGTGATAAGGGTGGAAATCAATAAAAATGTAAAGCAGAAAGATCTCAAGTTCAAATGGCATAGCACCTGATTTACACCTGTGTATATTATTGTCTAAGGCTCTGTGAATCCTGCTAGTGTTTCATAGTGTGGCTTTGGAACACAATGTCCAACAGACACTTGAAACCCTGCTCTGCCACATTTAATAGTTTAGCTTCAGACAAGGTATTTAGCCTTTCTGTGTGTCTGTTATTTAATCCAGAACTCAGGGATAGTGTCGCTCAGAGTTGATTTGAGGATTCAATTTCATGATGTATTTCCATCCCCTAGCATATTTAGCATATGTGGATTTCTTTCTTTCTTTACTTTCCTTTTCTAAAGAAATTGCTTAGTCAGACATGCTGATTCATAAGACCTATCTAAATAAATCCTAAATGTACAGTTAATTTGGTCCACTGATTTGAGGTGAATCAGTGTATCTAATATTCAAACCACAAAATAAGTTTGAATCACGAAATGACTGCAGAGATGAGTGACAGAACCCCACTCTAAAAACCACATGTGGTTCCACTGTCTTCGAACAGATTGTTCTTTTAATCAGCCCCAATGTGGCAACATTCAAACAATGATATGCTTTTTGTGGCATTTTAATGTTCTTCACTAAATATGGAATATGTTGTGAACACAGTGTTGATCCAACATGAATCAGATTTACTCTCTGAAAACTGAAGAGTGTCCCCAACTCATAAATACAAAGATTGTATATGTTGGGCCGGGGATTTTGCTCAGTGGTTTCTCCGCCTGCTGTGCAAGTGCAAGGACCCAAGTTCGATCCCTGGTACCAAAAAAAAAAAGATCGTATATGTTGAGACATACCTAATTCCACTTCAACTCGAGTCAGCTGTGGTCCAAGAACAACTGGAATGACATCATTGCGCTCTAAAATTAAAAGAAGAAAAGAGAAAGAATTAGTTTTGCCTTGAATTACTCTAAGACAAGCATCTGTTATCAAGTGTTCATTCTGTGTAACAAAGAGCATTTTGTTACAGTACAATTAAGTACAGTAGTTCCCCAATATCTGTGTTTTTGCATTCTGCATTTCCAGTTGCTCAAGGTCAACTGTGGTCCAAAAATACTGAATAGGAAAATCCCAAAGTAAACAGCTCATACGTTTTCAATTGCACAGCATTCTGAGAAGTAGGAGGAAAGTGGGCGGGGGTCCCCAAACCTTTCCACACCACCTGAACCAGAATACCTGTGGGAATGTGAAGCTGAGAGTCTTAGGGGAAAGGATGATACCTGGAATTTAAGATTTTGGAGTGCAGGAATTCAGGTATAGGATGGCCAGGCCACAGCTGTGTCAGGTAAAATAATAGCACCCCTCCAAAGTTAACTTATCCTAATCCTCAGATCCTATGAATATGGGGTGCTCCAATGGTGTGCGTGTGATTGGAAAATTGCCTCCAAAACTCAAACTGAATGTTAACTGCCACTGTAACAGGGTTAAGAGGTGGGCATTTGAGTAAGGATTAGGTCAGGAGGACTCACCCTCAAGAACTAGCTAATGCCATACTGCAGGACTGGGTTAGTTACTGAACTACTAGAATAAGTTAGTTATTGTGGATATGGGTTAGTTATGGCAGAAGTGGGTTAGTTAGTGCAGGAGTGGCTTAGTTATTGCGGGAGTGGGTTGGTTATTGCAGGAGGGGTTTAGTTACGGTGGGAGGATGAGTCTCCCTTCCATTTTCTCTCACTCTCAACCATGCTCATTTCCCCTTCAGCCAAGTCATGACACACATGAAGGTCACCAGATGTGAGTTTCAAAATTCCACAGCTGGAAGCTAAGGGAATCTCCATCATTTATACATTACCCAGTCTGTGGTACTCTGTTAGAGAAGAGGAAATGGACTAAGACACAGGCCAGAAAGTTCTGCAGATGATATCAAGTCAAGGGTCTTGGAATGGAGGGATTGTCCTGGATGACCCTAAATGCAATCACATCTGTCCCCAGAGACACAGAAAGCTCAAAGTCAGTCAGAAAAGGACAGATAGCGATGAGACAGAGGGAGGAAGGGAGGCAGCCCATGCTGGAGACTTTGATGTGGCTTGAGCTAACAATGCAGGCTGCCTCTGGAAGCCAGGAAAGGCCAAGAAGTCTCTTCTCCCCTAGAACCTCCAGAAGAAACTCAGTCCTGAAACTTTATTTTAGCTCTCTCAACTCACTCAGAAACCTGAACTCCAGAACTGTAAGAAGACAGGGAACAACAAAAACAGAAAAAAAAATAGAAGAGAGGGAACATAGGTTAATTGAGGATGCTAAGTTTGGGGTGCTTGGTTAGGGTGGCAGTTTGTGGATATATAGATGTGTGCATGGATAACTGGGGTGCAGCGGGAAAATGTTACTGAAGCAGAGGGGTCAGAACACTGTGAGCCTTGGATACAATTCTGAGACTTCTCTTACCTCCAAGTATTGTTATATTGAGGGTGTCGGTGATATTGTACAGTTTCCCATTATGAAGAAGAGAAAATACACAGGAGTAGTAGCCCTGGTCTTTAAACTCCGCATTCTTCCATATGGGCTTTGAATAGGATAGACTGTTTTCGCTTATTTTTTTACAGTTCTGTTTTTCAAAAAGCAAGTTAAAATATTTGAAATAAGTAAAGGAGTATTCGTATATTACAATCATTCACATTGTTAAACTTAAGATTTCAGAGGAAAAGGAAAACAGAATGGAACAAGCATCCTTGTGACTGGCAGTGCTTGTCTTGGAGCCAGAAATGGGTGTCCCGGGATGGCTACTCTCACTGTCATTCCCAATACAGGCTGCGTGACAGAAGACAGGAGCCTGGTGTCTGTTGTCATTGCTTTCTTTTAGTCAGAGAGAGAGAGAGAAAGACAGAGAGACAGAGAGAAACAAAGGCACGGAGACAGAGAGATAGGTAGAAAGACAGACAAAGAGGCCGAGAAAGAGAGAGAGAAAGAGAGAGAGAGAGAGACAGACTACCGCTACAACAATAAAATTCCTGCTTGGGTCAAAACATGTTGCACAAGTCTATTTCATAACACATTCACTCCAATTCTGTATACTAAAAGGGTAGTGAGGGTAGGAGCAAATTCCTCAGAAGTGAGTACCTAGCTGCTCCAAACTTGTCCTATACCAAAAGACAGCAGATGGACTAGAAAGGTACCAGCAATATTCAGAGCCCTGGGTACACCTGACTCTGTCTCTATCTCTTATTCGCTCTCACAATTCTAATGTGCATCATGGGAATTGAAGATCCTAATAAAGTCACCTTCTTTAATATCCAGCCATCTGTCACCCACAGCGGGTAGGTGCTGAAGCAGCCCAGGAACCCAATGGGACAATGGGAGCTGAGTGGCTGACCTGCCAGGCCACACGTCCTGCAGATGCCAAACAAGAGGACTCAGCCCACAGACCTGTCCCTATAAGCGGGCCAAGCTGCTGGCCACTGTGCCAGACCCAGACAGGGTCTTGAATGGGCTTGAGAAGCTCCACACATGTCCCTTACCTCTGTAACACGTTTCTGCACAGACCAAAATTTTATAAACCCACATTGATTTTCCCAAGATATAGAAAACACCAGAGACTCTTCTTTTCCTTTCAATTGTTACCGCATGGATTGAGCTTCCTTCCGTCCCTCAGGAAAGACACGATCCCTGACCACAGTGCGGATACTGTCACCTACATTGTGCACACTGAGCAGGAGAAAGCAGCGTGTCAACTCAGGACTGGCTCAGATGCTTGGAAAACATTTCTGAGAAGAGGTTTCCTTAAAAAACTGCCAGGAAACAGTGTTGAGCCAACAGCCCCAAAGGAAAGTTTCAAGGACACCATCGCCAGCGGCTGCCACTTCCCGAGGTCTGTTCTTGCCGCGCCCTCTCACAGCCCTGCCGCAGCCAGGACAAAGCTGCACCAGGCGGAGCTGGTCCTTGACAGGTACCACACAGCTCGAGCCATGCAAGATGCATATGTGTTCCAACAAGAACAGGGTATACCAGCTAAGAAAGCAGAGAAGATGCTCGGGAGACCCACAAAAGAAGAGGAAGGTAAAATGAATAATTTTAAAATTTATTATTAAGAAAAGAAATGGAAAAAAATGAAGAGTTTCGGAAAGTTTCCATGTCATATTTTTGTGTGCATTTGTTTTGCTTTTTGATACAGAGTCTCACTCTATATAGTCTTAGCTGGCCTGACATTCCCAATGCTCCCTAAATTGTGCAGAGTGGCCTTGAACTTGACATCCTCCTGCCTCAGCCTCCGGAGTGTTGGAATGACAGCTGCAGATTGCCATACCTGGTGTGATGTCAAGTCTTTAAACACTCTCACATTACTACTTCCTAGCCTGGGGGAGATGTGCGGAAGATGGGTTCTTGTACTGCACAGCTCCCTGGACACGAGTTTGATGATGTGGATCAAAATCCCTACACGTGTAATTAGACCTTGATCCACCAATTTTACACTTATGGAGTTGGTCAGGATGAATCCTATCAATACCCAGAGACTTTTAGAAATAATCATATTTAAATAAAAGTGAAAAAATAGGACACTCACAAATGTCTAAAAACAGGGGGATGCTTTTGATGAAATCAGAAACAGAATCCCATTTGGAAAAAATGTTGAAATATGTGGCAGAGTCAGCACATGTGATGTCAGGTGGATAAAAGAAAGACACAAGCAAAAAAATAAGCCACTTTCTAGAGAGTAGATATGATATTTACACAGAAAAGAAGAAACCAAAGTGGCTTATATGATAATTGGTGGTTTTGGTTTTCTTCATCATTTTTCCATCTTCCAACTTTGCAAAGTGAGCTTCTGTATTCAAAAAAAGTATAAAAGGTACGGTTTACCTTTTAAATATATGTGACAGAAGAAAATAAAATACCTGAAACTAGAATTCCTCAAAATTAATCATTGGAAGAGGAGCCTGAGGCAGAAGGATCATGAGTTCAAGACCAGCCTGGGCAACTTAGTGAATAAGCAAGACTCCGTCTCAAAATACAAAAAGGTTTGTGAAGGTTTGGATCTAAAACGTGTGCCCAAAATGTCATGGGAGGGGGGATTTTGAAGGTGACTGGGTCATGTGGCACTCAACTCATCAGCGGATTCGGCAATGGAGGAGTTCATGAGTCAATTGCTCTAGGGGTGGAGGTCAGTGGTCTGTGACCTGGAAAGGTGTGTTCTCCTCCCGACTTATGTCTCTTTTCTCCACCTCCATGGGTTGACCAGCTGTCCTCTACCAGGCCCTTCTGCTATCCCATTTGCACCTTGGAGTCAGTAGGCTGCAGATCCCTCTCCGCAAACTGTGAGCAAATAACTCTCTTCTCCTTGACACTGCAGGAGGCAGTGTTTCATCCCAGCAATGGGAGAGTAGGAAAGGTAACCACAGGCTGGGGATGTGATGCATGCAACAGCTCTGGGTTCAACCCCCAGCATTACAAAATTATTAATAATAAATTAAGTGATAAATTAATAATTAATCAATGAATGAATGAAAGATAAGGAAAATGAAGGAAAAGCAGAAGGGGGAAGCTGCTATCACTTACTGAACCCCGAATACTACAAGGGTCAGGCCAAGCGAGCTGTGTGGGGTAAATAGCTTGTTTGTTGGGAAAACAAAGAGTTCTAGGGCCATCACATTCCTCATTTTGGAATTCCATCTTTTCTATGACCCCTTGGGCTGATGTAGTTTAAAATGTTACCTTATACAGTGCCGTTCTGTGGATCAGTGCTTTATAGTAACTATTATTACAGGTTATCTGCAAAGACTTTGTAACTTCCACAGTTTTACTTTTTACTTGTTTTTCAGTAAAACAGCTGTGTTTATTTCTTCTGGTAACATTTATCATCCATCTCTGAGTATTATTTCTATGAAATAAAAGTATAATGGTATTTTGTGATTACTATAGAAACACTCCAATGATCGCCCATGTAGTAACCAATCCAGCACATTTTTCCTGATTTCTGTACAAAGAAATTGATTCATTGAGGTCTAAACTCTGCTCTGCCTCATGTCTTGGTTCAGAGGAGCAAGAAATTTAACAATTATCATGAGTTAAAGATGGAAACCTGAGCAGTCCACACACACACATACACATACACACATACACACCAACGCACATACCGACATGCATGTGCATGCACACACGCACAGACAGTCCTAAAATATTGCAGGATTATAGTTGTAATGGGTGAATTCTAAGCATACATTTTGGTGATTGATCTCTCCCACACCAAACTACAAAGGCTTACTCACCTGAGCTGCCACACACACACATACGTTCACACACACACACAAACATGCACACACCATGCACACACACACACACACACTTGTAGCAGACACAGGCGGCTGCTTACAGGCTGCACTGTCTGAGGATCTCTGTCGGTCCCGTGCTCTAAGTGTTCCCAACAGCCCGCTCCATGTAGAACTCTCCACCGTAAAAGCCATGGTCACTGCTGCTCCGCTCTCACACCAGTCCCCACAGCCTTGCAGTTTCATCACCAAGCCCAGTCTGGGACATGGTCTTTCCCTTGCCCTCTCCTGTCCACCATCCTAGGTCTCTTGGACTCCTCTCCATCTCCCTCTCTGATTACCCCAATTTGCTATCTAACCCTGCTGAATTCTCCATCTTCCCCTCAGAACAGTGGCAAAAGTCCTCTGTCCCTTTCATCTGTAAGGGAGGCCACAGGTGGCCAGTTCCTCACCTCAGTCCACTTTCTGCTCCATCTAGAGCCCTGGGTTCCTTTAAATCACACCTTCATTCAGTCAGGGTTCAGAAAGGGGTTGGGTTTGTTGTTGGTTTCCTCTACTCTGTTCACTGCCTTCATTCTTCCTTAACTGGCTATGAAAACATCCACTTGTGACCCATTTCTATAATTATCACTGTTAAAAGATCACATAAAACATACTAGATCTTCAAAAAGAGTTTTGTAATTTCTTCTGACTCTCTTCTGTGTATAGAAACAGAAAATCATGACCTCATTTGGTACAGAATCACAGAAGTGATACCAAGGTCTCATTCCTCTCTCTCTCTCTCTCTCTCTCTCTCTCTCTCTCTCTCTCTCTCTCTCTCTCTCTCTCATCTGTCTCTGTATCTGTCTCCCCTCTCTGCTCTCAAAAGCATGGCTGATAATGAATAGGACTCTCAAGGGGGAAGAGAGAGATTTCTCTCAGAAATCTGCTGAACCCAACAGTTCAGCAACAGCCCTGTGAACATCCACATGTGTGTACACACATTTGTGTACAAGTAGGCTTCTATAATGACAGCCAAGTTCAGTTACAGCACAGTGGCTGACACATCCAGTTGGTCGCTGGCAGGTCACAGACCCACACTCCTGGATTCTTAGCCTGGCACCATCGAGGGAGCTGGCACAGGGAGACAACAAAGCCCATCCTGGTTGCCCTCAGAGGCATGGATAGCCACCGAACACACCTCCCCAGTGGCACTGCCACCTCTTCCCAGTGAGCCCTGAAAACCTCACCACTGTGTGTCCCCATCAGTTCCATTCCCTCTACCCAGGAGGCTGGCCCACTACACGCTATTTACACTTTAACTTTATTTTGAGTACTAGCCATTGATTTCTTCTACCAGGGCATCTACACCCCAGGGGTAGCTCACCTTTAAACTGACTTTCACATATTTGAGCTGCTAAGCAAAGGCCAAGAGTCCTAAGAAATATGGTGAAATAAAAGGTGCACTCACCCCAGGTTGCAAGTATAGGATCCTTGGTCTTCTAACTCCACTGGCCAAAACTCCAAAATGTCCTTGTGCAAAATAATTCGGGGTGATGTGCTCAGGTTCAGCTTGGCATCCTTGTAGGACTCATTGCTTCTGTACCACTGTGGGGTGGCTGTTTCATTCCTCTGAGCAGATGAAGATGGGCAACATTTGAGATAAAAAGGTTCCCCTTCTACCACATTAAGGTGGGACCGTGAAATACAATCTTCTCCTAAAAATTAGCAGAGGTAAAGGAAAAACAAAAACAAATGATAAAGGTGATATTCTCTCTCCTAATGCATTAGGGGAAGAAGCAAGGTTAGTAAGAAAGCCCTGAGAAAGTGCCACATTCCTGTCTTTTAGTTCGTCTCTCGCTGGGAAGGGTCAGATGTATTCAGGATAGAGGCAGAGACAAACTGGATTAATTTTTCTAAACAGGAAGGTGTAAGTACATAACATACCACAGCCACGAGGCAGACATGTGTAGAGTCATCTTGTAAAAGATAATACTGCACATCACAGCTTCCCGATAAGAAAAGTCACAGGTTCTAGTGTTGTCACATCTACCCTAACAGTCCCCTGCAGAGGAGCCCCCATAAAAGAGAAGACAAAACACTTGAAGTCCTAGGGGTTCTTCATTTGCATCCTCAGAAGCCCCAACCACTTCCCTGTGCCCAGCCACACCAGCTGCCCGTGTACAGGACAGTGTACGAGCAGCACAGGGGCTCCAACGACACTTCAGGGCAAGGAAGCTCGTGACTATGTCAGTAACCAGGTAAGTAATCAGGACCCCACGAGCAAAGCCTCACTCCAAATCCAGGGATCCTTCCCCTCTCTGAGCTCTCTTTCTCTTTTCCCCACTCTGTCTCAATTCACCCCATCCTCTTGTTTTGAGAATGTGCCTGATCTTTGTACGCACATAGTAGGTCCTCGGAGTCACAGGTAGTGTTGGGAAACCTCTCTCACACCCTGTCCCCTGCTGCCCTGGGGAGAATAAGCATCTTTTAAATTAATGAAGCATTCCATAAGAATATGGACAGTACCCCTTTTCTATAGTTGGGGTTTATGTTTCAAAGCAACAGTCTGGTTTTAACTCAAAGCTGTCAACCACAGCCTAAAGAGGAAGTGCTCACATGGCAGAAGGCGTCTTTGAAACTCACAGGGTAAGAGTTAATGAACACCAACTTGGAAGTCCGTGGTTGTTATATAATCTCTATTTTACACTTCAGTACTTCAACACAGAAGGTGCAATCCACGTGTGCATGTGGGTGTCAGTTTTAATCGACACTCAAAACTATAGTAAGTTATTAGCAGTTCATTTATTTTCCTCTTTTAGAGATATGCATATAATACAGAACATAAAACATATAACATGTGCCCTTCTGTGTCCGAATTTTTGTGCACTGTTCTATTTAAGTCAGGCACCCATGTTGTTGCACATAGCAATGATGTGTTCTTTTCTGCATGCTATGTAGTATCCAATTGTGCTACTATTTCACTATTTATTCATTCTATAAATGAATAAATATTAGATTTGGGTTATTGGACAAGTGTCTATTAGACATTTCGGTTATTTCTGGGTTTCCAGGTTTTGACTAATCTTAAAAATACTTCTGCAAGCACACAGGCTTGTGTTTCGATGGACGTGGGTACTCATTCCTCTTTGGAGAAAGTTATAATTTGAAGAAATCTCATGTGAAATTCATAGCTTTTAGGGATGGGTGGTGTACAGTTGTACATCCACACTTCCCTAGGAGCTAATGTCTTCAGACACATAAGTTTAAAGGAACACTCAGGTTTGGTTTGCTGACTGGTGTAATGCTTGTTAGGAATGGACTCTGATTGTAGAAATGAGTAGAGATCATGGTGTGTGGAGTTGGTGCCATGACCTCTTGTTGCCTCCCCTAGTCGGGTATAAGAGCCCGGCAGTGTCAAGAACCTGTACTTCTTGGAATAAGGTCTGTCTTTGGAATTGCCCTGAATTTGGACAAGTCCCAGATGTTGTCAACTAACTTCAACTCGGTTTAATGAACCCTGCTGTTAGAACATTGCCCTTTCTGCCCACAATGAGTATCCATGGAGGATGCTCCCCAAGTACCTGGGAGGAACAGTGACAGAGTACAGTACTCTTTCTGTGCCTAAGACATGTTTTCACGGCCCTAGGAGCCAGGTCACTGGAATATGTCCACAGAGCCCATCATCTGTAACGCACATAATCTGCACCCAGCTTTTCACTCAGTAGTTTCTGACAGCCACCCCATATCCAGAAGAGAAGATCTCCCTCATCCCTTTCACATGGGCAGTGCCCTGTTGTATAAAAGCACTGCCACATCACACAGACCTCAAGACTTGCCCTGTACTATGTGAAATTATCACTAGTTTAACTGCTCCACCTTCTGCAGTAATTTTCTAAGTAGAGAGCTTCCCTCTCATAGATAAGAGATCAAGGCAGATTAACCCCTGTGCTCCCTCTTTCTCCCCCAGAGCCTGCAGGAAACCTTGCTATTCCATCATGGAACTCTTTTGCAAAGAATGGGTTCTCAGAATCCTTCCAATGGAAAAGACAAAATATCTCAACAGTAGCTACCAATAAATTAAAAGTGGTACAATAGTGCCTCAGTTCACGAATGCTTCTGTTCATGAACAATTTGGTTTTCAAACAAAAGCATTTGCAAAATTTTGCTTCCTTTGGCAAACTCTGCATAGGGTGACATAGAACCTTATGGGGAAATCTTATTAGGTTCATAATCAGAATTGCGGAAAGAATTAAGTTTGTGAACTGAGGCACGACTGTATTCGTCATGTGCTTCGAAGTCCACTTGAACTCTAATCTAATGGGCATCTCTCTCTCATATATGATTTTCAGCCCTCATAGCATTTAAAATCTGTAAAGTTGGAAATCTGTATCTTTACATAATCTCTCTTGGTTCTTATTTTTCATCCTTGCCCAGCCCTCCTTGCAACCCCTCCATTCCTCCCTATTTACAAAGATTTTGTTCCTATGTTTCATTTTCTCATATTAATTCCATTCCCTTCTTTCCTTTCCCCTACCCCTCCCACTTCCTTCCCCTTTGCCCCTTTTCTTCCTATTTCACATTGCCTATTATATGTTTTAGTCCTTATTTACACTTTCAGTCTCTCACACCAGAGAAATTATTCGGTATTTATACATGTGTTTCCTATTTATTTCACTTAAGAGTATCGCCTCAATGTGCATCTATTTAGCTATAAATGTCTCTAATTTCTCATTTTTTATGGCTGAGTAGAACTCCATTTTATAAAAACCCCACATTCTCTTTATCCAGTCTCCAGTTGATGGGCATTTGGGCTGTTTCCAAGTTTTAGCTATCACAAACTGTGTCATTGTATTGTATACCTAAAATGTACCAATTATTAGAATGAATAATCGATAATGCAAAATAGGAAGAAAAGGTCCAAAGGGGTAGGGGTAGTGGGAGGGGAAGGGGAAAGGGAAGAAGGGAAAGGAAAAATGATGAGAAATGGAAAAAATGGAAATAAAGTCTTTGTAAATAGGAAAGGGTGGAGGAGGTGAAGGGAGGGCTAAGAATGGGGAAAAAATAAGAACCAAGATGCATCATGTAAAGGTACAAGTTCCCAATGAGAAATGTAAAGGTGTTGTATACCTAAAATGTACCAATAAAAGAATTTAAGAAAAATAAAGTAAAATCTATAAAGTGCTTTCCTTATTTTTCCTAAAGAATAAGATGAATCTCCCTATCTCTCAGGAAGGAGAGAATGTGTACAAAAATTTCTAAAAATCAGTAATAAAGATGGTTGCCTCCTTGCATTCAAGTAACAGGAAGCAAATTTTTTTTAGAGGAACAAAAGTTCTCTCTGCATAAACCCAGAAGGCTAACTCTTTTCTTTTGCAATGATGTCACATGTGTTTTCTTTACTTGATTCTATTCCTATGGCTCTTTCATTCTTTAAACCAAGGATGCCAAATAATCATCAGTTTTCTAAAGTAAAATTTTAAATCACTAAATTTTAACAAATCCAGGCTCTTCAGTAACCACCTCCACTCCATACGACAACACTGTGAATTGCTAATGTTATATGTTTGCGAGCAATAATAATCACTTACCAGAAGTGCTTTCAGCTATAAGAACCCAAAGGGTCAAGAATAATTCTCCACAATGCATGCTGAGGATTCTGCTTCAAATGGTTCCTCTGGAAAACAGAATAAGACAGGTTAAGCCAAAGCCTCATACAAAAAAATGCCTGTCTTAAAAGGTAATTTTAAAAAAATCTTCTGACACAAAAACTTTTAAAAAGCAACCCAAAAGATTTTCATGTCCCTTACAATGTCACCAGTTCTCAGAACTTTCAACAATATAGAATTAATAAAATTTTAAGGAAATGAATTTCAGCTCCCAGAAGAAAGACCTAAAACTGCAATTTTCTGATACACTAGATCCTGGGTCTTTTAGGCTTGGTATACTAAATCCTGCCTCCAATGTCAAAGTCAAGGGGAATAGTACAGTATTTCCAGAAAATGTACTATTTGATGAATAAATAATCTGTGGCATGCCAAGATATGCACAGCAGTTCTTCCTATGTAGGAGTGTGCCTGCACGTGTGTGTGTGTGTGTGTGTGTGTGTGCATGTGGATGTGAATTGGCTTTCCACCACTACAAGCAGTTGAAATTTTCAACTTCTTCAAGCAGAAGGGTTATTTTGTCTCACAGTTTTAGAAGTTTTAGTGCATGATTAGTTAGCCTCTTTGCTTTTAGCCCTGAAGCAAGGAAGGCCATGGCTGTACAGATAGGTGCTGGGGTAATTACATACACACCCATGCTTATAGTAGCACAACTCACAGTAGCTAAATCTTGGAAAAAGCCTGTGTGTCCATTAACAGATAAACGGATAAAGAAACTGTGCTTTTTACACACAGTGGAGTACTACTCTGCCATAAAGAGGGATAAACTTGAGTCACTTGTAAGAAAATGGATGTACCTGGAGACCATAATGTTTAGTAAAATAAATCAGACACACAAACTTCAATATTACATGGCTCCTCTTATATGAAATCCCAAAGTAGAATTAAATTAAAGAGCAAAATAAAAGACAGATAATAGAAAACAGGGATTTAACCTTTTGCAGATGGGAAGGAGGGAGAGAGAGAGGAGGAAGTAGAAGTAAAAAGGATAGGATGCAATATGTACCAACTCCCTGTGATTCATGTAAGCATGGATAGCAAATATGTACGGCTACAAAAAACTGCTCACCTCATGACCCAGGAGCGAAAGAGGAAAAAGGGAAGGGCCCAGGTTTGCTCAAATTTATCCTTCTTTATGGCACAATAGTACTCCATCATGTGTAAATACCACATTTTCTTTATTCATTCATCTGTTGATGTTCTCCCCTTTCAGGGATTACACCCCAGGACCAAGACCCCACTAGGCCCACCTCTTAAAGGGCCCACGGTCTCCTAAATGCCCCTTTCCCAGGATCAAGCCTCTCTGATAGGCCTTTCGGTGGGAACACATATAGATCACTGTCAGAATGTGCAGTCAGATCTTCACTTGTGGGTTGAATATTCTAAAACCTGCCTTTCTTCTTGAGCACGTCTCTCCCCAGTCTCAGGCCCCAGACACAGTGAGCTCCCGCTAGCACTTGTGGTTGGGAAATGGGTGTGTGTAGGTGTGGGGCCCTCCGAACTCACACGCCCACAGTGTTTATTTTAGGGAAACTGAGACTGAGCTGTAGGGCCTGCCCTCTGAACCCCTCCTTCCCACTGACCGAACCCCAGTGAACGGCGATCTTGCTGGAACTGTGACCTCAAGACCACCCGTCTCCACCCTTCCAGTCACAGATTTGGAGAGCAGAATGGGGAAAGCGTCTTCCCCGCAAGGGGACTGTTTCCTGATCCGAGCAGTCAATAATAATCCCAGATCCTTTGCTTACTGAGAACCTCGCCATTTGCATTTCGGACTCCAGCCCTCCCTGGTGGAGCGAGAGTGGGATGCAAAGGTTCCCTTCATCTTAGGCACAGGCGGACCGAGTTGACAAGGCTCAGAGGAGCTGAGGAGCAGGAGTGTTGCTGAGCTGTCTCTGGCAGCTTGCCCCTCACCAAAACAGAGGTAAGAGAGCCACCTGGGTTGCCGGGGATTTAGCTCAGTGGTTTCACTGCCTGCTGCACAAGCGCAAGGACCCGAGTTCGATCCCCAGTACCAAAAAAAAAAAAAAGAGAAAGAGAGAGAGCCACCTGGGGGTGGTCGGGTGGAGCTCTCACTCAGCCCACTCCAAGGCCCTTGGTTCCACCCCTGCTACCACAGAAACAAGCAAACAGGAGGCCTGGTTCCAGGGCCACTGGGGAATTAAACCAACTGATGTTTACAAAGACTTCTGGGTCCACAGTAACAATTCCCATGGCCCAACTACCACTCACCTCCCATCCTAAAAGGGAGGCAGGGATTCATATTACATGGATCATAGAAAAAGTTGAATAATGAAGCTGCCAAGCTATTTCCACCAATCCTTATGAATAACATCACCAAATATCTGGTGGAATTTCCAAGAGACAGTCATCAACCATGTGCAGGGCTGGCATGTATGGAAAGTACCAACTGCTCAGAGTCAGACCAGAACAGCGCTCTGTTTAGAAACCTCCGGGCTCCCATTCACGTGGTTTATCCTCAGCTCCGTCTACTCTTTTACAGTGGGCAGGATGCAAAGTGTCGTTTCCTTTCTGTCACTTATCTGGTGAAGGCTGACAAAGGCTTATCAAGGGCACCTCTTTTTTATTTTTTCTAAGCCCTCCCAAGGGACACAGTTATGAGATGATTCAGTGTTCTGTGAGTCATGAGTCTCCACATGAAATGCATTCAGATCCTGGTGTATAAAAATAGTTGACAATCACACAGCTCTCCAGGTGTAGATATGTATATATTAAATTGTCAATGTCAACTTGGTAAGTTGTATGTTTGAAATTAACAGATTGATATTTTATTGCATAATCAATTTGTATCCAGAAAAAAAGGCTATTTTGAGAAATGTCTTAAATACTGTACTCAATTGTGGCTAGCCTACCAATTATTAATAAAATAAATATAGGAGAATATAAATTCAATTTCTCATATATAAGAATTTTAGAGGGTTTTGGTATTATGCTTGATTTTTTTTTTTCGCTTTTCTGTAACTTTTAAATTTCTCTCTTCTTTCTTTTCTTTGGCTCTTTGACCTGATTTCTAAAGCAATTCACTCCCAATGCAGAATATTTACAAAATGAACACTGAAAGAAGAAAATCATTTCACCACACATACTTTAGCATGGTGCCTTGCACTTTTCTATGTATTTTCAAATACTTAAATGGTGCTCAATTGATTTCATATCTTGCATTTCCATTAATATTACATAACGAGCATTTTCCTATACCACACTGCTTTTTTGTTAACATCATTTTAATCACCACCTACTACTCTCCCAAATGAATGCATTACCATTTACGGGAGGATCCATATTATGAAATAACCCTAGGGCTGTGTTTCTATGTAAGGAGTGAGGTTCAGACCACTGCAGTGTGGCCTCAGTGCCATCCTGGTTGGATGTGAAGCTCCAGCCTCTCTTCTACCAGCTGCATTGCCACAGGCCAGTTACTGATCCTCTCTGTTCTCACTTCCTGTATCCATAGAAGGAGACAAGAATACCACCTCCCAGAGCTGATGACAGAGCTCCAAGCATAACTATTGCAAAAGATCTGCAGAATGATAAATACCACTTAAATGTCATTATCATTTATTTGTATTTCTTATCATTTTCTTGGTGCTACTACCTGGCAGGGGAGTAAATGGGTCAGTACTCTATAAGCATGACAAATGCATACCAGAAAACCACATTGCAGAAATGTTGCAGGAACTCCCACTTCCTCCCTTCACAGTGCAAAACAGTTTCCATCCATCACACCCACCACTGAATATTCTCATTTTAAAAATCCAGCTAGGTAGTCAGAATGAAAAAATGGTGTCTCACTATTTTTTAAAATTCCCATTTCTTTTGGTTATAAATGAAGCAAATATTAATCAGATATTATTAAGCATTTTATTTCTATGTTTATGAGTCATTTCTTTATATCCTCTTCTCAGCTCTCAGATGTTTGATATTTTGTTTAACTTGTTTAGTTTACTTTTAATTCCCTTTTGGTATATTAATATTGACGCAGTCAAAACAATCACTTTTCCTTTGTGACTTTTCCATTACTTTTAAATATAAAACATTTCTTTCCTCTGGGGTAAGAACATGTTTATCTGTATTTTCTTCATTTTTATCACTGAGTTATGCTCATTTGAAAGTTAACTTTTAAAAAATTCACCAATAATTAATGTTCTTATTTAGCATGAAGACAGGGTCTAATTAAGCTTACTTTTCTAAATAACTACTAATTATTTCTCTATCATTAATTGAATAGTCCTATCTTTTCTTTAAAATTTGTTGGTATCAGGGTATAAAGTATGGGTCTTCCCTGAGCACTCTAAGGGAAATCTAGAGCACACACACACACACACACACAAACACACACACACACACACTGCACCGTCCTCTCTCTCCTTGAGTTCTTTGATTCATAACAATTATCACTAACATATGTTTACTTATATCTGCTAGATGGTTTATTATATGGTAAATAATGAATCCATTAAATCCATATAATATAGTTTGGAGTCTAGGAGATCATCCAATCCATTGGCATATCTGAATTTTCTACTTTCAAAATCTCTCCGTGTTTATTTTTGTTTTCTGACACAGGGTCTCACTGTGTAGCCCAGGCTGGCTTTGAACTGTCCATCTTCCTGCCTCAGCCTCCTAAGTGCTGGGATAACAGGCATATACGTCTTCATGCTCGGCTTAAATCATAATATCTTGAAAAGCATATTTAATAGCAAACTGCCCAGGCTGCTAGCTTTCACCTAGAGCTTGCAAAAAACTAAATAATGAAGGCTGGGTTTCACCCAGCTCTCTGGCTGGCCATACAATCTGGGCACCATGAGTCCTCTTAAATCCCCAGGCAATTCTAACATACAGTCAAGGTAGACAATCACCAACCTATGGGACTTATTTGTATACTTAGAAAGGTAAATATAATATACATTTAGTATACCTGAAATGTTAGATACATTAAATACATGTATGATCGTAACATATCTATTTAATAAATTTATTCATGAAGGTATAAAAAACTATGTGCCTGGGCCCGGGATTTAGCTCAGTGGTTCTGCCACCTGACCCACAAGCATAAGGACCAGAGTTCGATCCCTGGTACCAAAAAGAGAGAGAGGGGAAAAAAACCCAAAAAACTATGTGCCCATGTGTATATGTGTGTGTAGACACATAAAGAACAGTCATCAACTTATCTGAATCATTAAATTTCAGGAAATTTTCTCTAAATAAAACATAAAAACTTCTCTCCCAAGAACTGTGCAAGTAGGGAGAAGGTCAGGTCCAAAGTGACCGGTCTCTCTGTCCCCTGAGGCAGGGCAGCCCAAGCCCCTCCCGCAGTCTGAATGCTCCCTTCCTGAACCCCCACACTGTGTTTGCAGTGTGTCCCCTAAGGAAGTTGAGCATCCTCTAGAAAACAGTCGCAATACCCACAGCTCCACACCTGCAAAGCTTTCCTAGAAGGCACCTGAGACCTGAGGAGGTGAAATGGCCAAGCTACTCTCACTGACTCCCACACAGACAGGCAGAGCTCCATGCAAGCTGCTCATTAGCAGAATGTATCACCCAGCACCTCCTAAAACAAACTCCCCCGCCTTTTTTTTTTTCAATGATGACGTCCATTTTATTCCTGCGTATAATCTGGGCTTCTGGTTCTGCTGAAACTTAAAATGTACCCTGTCAACATGCTAGAATCCAGGTTTAATTTCCTATTTATCTCAGTATTGTAACACTTTATATGAAAGACAACGTTTGGAATCCAAAAGTAACTATCATCTCCACGATAGAAGTCACGAGTTATTCCCATTCCTTGCACATAAAACCCGTATGCACATGGCCGGAGCCCACATTCAAGTCTTGGTGTTACAGGTAGGATCTCCCTCCGGGATTAAATAATGTTAAATATGTAATCATCTGTTCACCAATAAAAGGAAGTGAACATTTTATCTCTGAAGTGTTATGGTCAGTTTACTAAATTCAATGATGAAAGTTATAAGACGAATATTCTCCTGAAAGTTATTTTTTCTTAGAAAAAAAAAGAAAATTAAAGCCCTCTCAGCACAGCCACAGGTGCTGTGACTGTCAAGCTCTCCAGGAGATGGTGCATCGGTCCGCTGAATTACTCCTTGGACCAGTAGGGTTGTATTCTGGGTCATCCTCAACATCCTTCAGCTCCAAGACATTCATCCATTTCATAAAGAGGAGCTTCATCTGGGTATTTTTCACTGTATATAAACTTGAGGGTAGTCTGGACAGTTTCATCATTTTCTCCAGCCTCAGATGTCACAGTGATGGTGAAGCTGGGTGGACTTTCTGATAATCCTGAAAAGCACTGGCCACAACCCCAGAGTTTCTGTGAAGGAGTCGGGGTAGATGGACTCCAGAGCTCGTTTCACTGCTCCTCGCCGTAGTCTGTCTATGGCCCTAGCTGTGGCCCATGGGTCACGCGGACGCTCAGGCAGCGCACCACAGCCGAGTGAGACAAACCGCTTTGACAGAAGTCATAACACCTGCAATATATTTTTCTTTGCAGAGCTGATATTTGAACCCAGGGGCCAGGCATGCTAGGCAAATGCTCTACCACTGAGCTACGACAGCCTAAGAGTGATGTTTTACACTGATTCTTTCTCCACGGTGCCCAGTGCACTGGTGCTTTGCTTGTTCAATAGTCGTTGTCACACAAGTGTCTGTTACTCTCGTCTTCATGGTCTCCCCCAAACCCACCTATGCATGTGGCCACCTGCCACCACCTGGATGCCAATCGGTCCTCGCTTTGCCCAAATGCCCCTTGCAACATGGCTCAAAGGCTGGCTTGGAAGGCAGCTCACTAACTACTGCTGCCCCCATGGGACCCCCCTGTGCCCACCCACTGGGCTCCTCATTCCAGGAGACCAGACCACTGTCCCCGGCCCACCACAAACCCAGTCCCCAGGTCCACCTCTCCCAGTGTACCCAAGGCTCTCAGGGTGAGTGGTGTCCCCAGATCCCAGCACTGTCCAGGGCATGCAACAGGTGTACGAGGAGGGAAGCTGTTGAAATGAACAGAACAGTCTCTACCTCCACCTCTGTCCCCACCTGCGCTGGTGACTGTGACAACTGCCTGTGTTCTGACTGCTGCAGGCACCTTGGGCTGAAGACAGAGGTTTGGAATCAGGACAATTTAGGGTTGAATCTGATAGCCATTATTCAGTAGCTGGATGTCCGTGAGTAAATTACTGAACCTCTGTTCTTTGGTCCCCTTCCCTTTGTTTTTGTTTTGTTCTGTGTTGTTGGTGGTGGTGGTGGTTTGTTTTTTTTGTTGATTGGTTGGTTTTTTGAGATAAGGCTGGCCTTGAACTCACTATGTAGCCCAGGCTGACCTCAAACTCTCCACAATCTTCCTGCCTCAGCCTCCCAAGGGCTATGATTACAGGCGTGAACCACCATGCCCGGTCCCCTCTCCCTTTGATTAAGCATGATAGTACGGCCTGCCTCCTGGAGTCTCTGGAAGGACAGTGAATATAATGCAAAAGCTTTCTACACCGTGTCAGGTGTACGGTATGCCCTTAACACATGGTAACTCTCATCATTTATTTCAGCCCTTCTCCTCTCTAGAAACAGACCGCTTTAGCCTCTAAAATCCATCTTAATGGGGACACCCTGATGCATGCTGTGTAGTAAGCTCACACACGCTCGCAGACGCGCGCGCACGCACGCACGCGCACACACACACACACACACACACACACACACACACACACACTCGCGCGCACGCGTGTCCCTGATCTTGCCCGGGAGAGGGGAGAGGTCCGTGGGGGAGGCGCTCCTGGCGCGGTGCGTCCTTACCTTCTGAGGGCCCCCTCCCCGAGATGGGCAGGTGGCTGCTGTCGCTGTCCCTCCTCCTCCTCCGCACCAGGGTGCTGGGACTGCAAGCAGAGTCCAGGTCCCCGCCTGGAGCCCTGAACCCCGAAAGAGTTGAAAGCCTAGAGCGGGGCGGGGCAAAGTTGAGAGCTGAGGGCGGCTGGGGACAGGAAGGGGGTGGGAGGCGACTAGAAGTGGGATCTGCCGCCCCCAAAGCCTGAAGCGCAAGGATCTGGGTCAGTGCGATCTGGGCTCCTGGGCGCTCGGGGTCGGGGGTACCCTCCTCTTGGGGTGCTCCTCTCAGAGTGCTCCGGGCTGGGGCTCCCTGGGACGCGCACAGCACAAAACTTCCGCTCTGCGGGCCCTGGCCGTGGCGCCCACGGGGGCGCAAGGGTCGCTCGTGTCTCCTGCGCGCCCTTCAGGCCGGGAGGCGCTATGACCCAAGTGAGGCCGGCAACAGGGACAGCTGTACCCAGGGCGAGGCCTGGACACTGTTCCTAGGGACAAGGGCCAGGGACGCCGATCCCCAGGGACAAGGGTGCAGGGCACCGGTGCCCAGGTGGCGCCCACAGGAGAGGACGGCCGGCGAGGGCTGCAGAACAGCAGGAGTCCGCAGTGAGCAGAGTCCAGGACCTGGAGGCTGGCGGTGAAGGTGTGGAGGTCGCAGTCTGCAGAAGAAGGGTGACAAGGACATCCCCCCTCCAAGAAGGATGGGGGTTCCGAGTGGGAAGAAATAAAGAGGGGTGCGGTTGTTGCACTGAGATTTTAGTTTACAAAAACAAGCTATAGGAGAATGGGCGCCCTATATTTTTTTATTTATTAATTTTATTGGTACATTTTAGGTATATGATGACATTCATCATTGGGAATTTGTACCTTTGTTTTCGGTTTATTCCTTTTCTCACATTTATTCCGTTTCCTTCTTTCCTTTAAGGAATAGAACACCCTAGATTTTCACAGTGAGGTGAAACTGTTTTCAAACAACCATGAATAGAGAGGTCTATGGCTGGTGGGAAAGGGTTTAAGGAGACAGCAATTTTCCTTCTTTCTACCCAATCACAATAATTTTCTATATAATAAATTTTTAAATGACATATAATTATTGCAATAACTCTGAAAAACAGAGGCATCTATGGCTGATAGGGAAGGGTTAAAGGAGACATGATTTTCATTCTTTTTAACCCAAAGTGGTTCATCATATAAAATAGAAAACATACATATTTATCTAAGTAAACACAAAAAATAAGCATCTAGCAAAACTCAACACCCTGTTTGCTTTAATAGTACCAAGAAAACTGGAAGGAGAAAGGAATGTTTCTTTATCTGGTAAAGAACCTCAGCTAGGAACCCACAGCCAATTCCATAATTAAGGGTGAATCATTTTGCTTTGTCCTAAGATCAGTGCAAAGATAAGGTCAGGTCTCACCTAGAAGAAATGTTTTACCATAAGTAAAGAAATGAAAATAGAAATAATAAAGTTTCAAAAGGAATAATGAAAAGTATTGGTTTTGACAGAAGTGTTTCTATGCGTAGGTCACCCTTTGAAATCTACAAAAGAAGAAAAGAAAGGAAGGAAGAAAAACAAAAGTATTATATTGAGTTTAGCAAAATTGCAGAATATGAGGTCAATACAGAAAAACGCTAGTGATGGAAATTTGAAAAATAAAATTTGTTAAGAATGTATTTACAATAGCATTAAAAATTAAACATCAAAGCCTAAGTCCTTTGGAAGAAATATATCTATGAAAATAGAAAAACAGAAAATGAAAGGCCTGTGTAAATAGAGGGATTTACTATATTCACGTATGGTAAGACTCACTGCTGTTTATCCTGGCATAGACTACATTTCAGGCTGCCTCTACTGTGGAGTCTATATATTTAATCCAATCCAAATCCCAGGAGTAATTTTCAAAGACACTGAAAAGCTAATATCTCTGAAAATAAAAATAATAAAGAATTGTCAGAACAATCCTGAAAAAGAATAAAGTTCCTACACTAACCTTTTGTAAAAGAACTTACCCTGACTTGCAGGTTTGCAATAAAGCAAGATTAATGATGGAACTTTGATATTTACAGAACTATACAAATGGGAAGTAGAAAGTAGATTAATAGACAGACCCACACAAATAGTCAATTGATTTTTTACCAATATGCTGTGTCAGTTCAGTGGGGGGGGGGGGATGTCTTTCACAAATGTTACTAGAACACCTAGGTATCTCTATGGAGAAGAGAAAAAGAATTCTGACCCTTATCTCATTCTATTGTGGGACTGCATAACTCTGTAATCATAAAACTCCCCTAGCCCCAACTGTGAATGTGAGTAAATAGATAAAGATGCTTGTTAGTTCCAGACACTAGATAAGATCTGTATCAGCCATAAGGTCCCAAAGTAAATTACTCTCAACTCTTTGTTCAAAACTGATGTTCCAGACACCGCTATCTATAGAACAATCTACAAACATCTGCTGACCATCAGTACGTGTCAGCTGACCACTAACCTTTGTTCCTCTTCTGTAAATTTCGCCTGTTAACTTCCCCTGCACCCCCTTTTAAAAGAGCCTTGGACTCTGGGCTAGTCGCCTCTCTAAGCTACTTTGCTTTGGGAGTGCCATCTGGCCAGACTAATAAAGGTCTGTTTTATTTTCCAACTTGGCCGGTGTGTTCCTTCCCGGGTGTTCTTCGCTGCAGTCAGCTCCTCAGAGCGTTTGGTAAGGCCCTCGGTCTTACACTTTTCATTCTCAACAAGTCATAAAATTAAACATGAAAGCTAGAACCGTAGATATGTCATAAAAATACATAGGAGACCATCTCCATGCCCTTGGGGAAAATGAAGAAATAATTCCTAAGATATAAAAAGTGCTGTGTAAGATAAATTGATCTACTGAATGTCATTGAAATTAAAAATATTAATCAGTTTAACACTCATAAAATGAAAGGTAAGCCTGACAAAATTCTCACATCTATCTGGCAAATAACTTGTATCCATAATATATTTTAAAATGTCTTCACATCAACAATATAGAAAGAAGCAACACAATTTGAATATGGCAAAAGATTTTACCTTTACCAAAGAATATCTATTTATGGTCAATTAGAGGTCGGAGAACTGCAAATCAAGACCACAATGAGATTCACTTATCAACCACAAAAATTACTAAAATATAAAGGAATGTGACAATACTAGGCACTGGAGTAACAAATGACTCATCTGTTATGGGAATGTAGAATGACACAGTTATCAGGAACATTTATCAGTTCTCCAAAAAGTTAAAATAAACCTACCCAACTGCTCCTGGGTATTGGGCAAGAAATAAAAATAGATGTCCTCCAGAATGTTTACAAGAACCATATTTATAGCCATAAATTGGAAACAACCTATATGCCTACCAACAGGAACAAGATTAAACAAACTCTTCGCCATACAATAGAGTACAGAGAAACCAGTGACTCATAAAAAACAAGGGCCAGTATTAAAAATTTTATGTTATAGACAAGTAACCAGACACAATACCATTCAAGTTTATCAATATTCACAGGGAAAACTGACAGGACTCAGCCATGCAGATGAAAATCAGAACATTGTTTGCCCGTAGAAGGGACCAGGTGAGATGTCACAGTGGAACTTCCTGGAGTGATGATGTCTGGTTGTGTGTTTTCAGTACACAGTTGTGTTAGGCTATCACAATTCACTGGACTGAATACTGAGGATGTATGTTTTATTTTATGCAAAATGACTCAAAAATAATTCATGTTCTTATAATTCACAGGCATTTTCACCATAATTGTATACCATGTGTCCAACAGATTTTGGCTGAATTTGTATTATTCATAGTTGCTTGTGTGAATCTCTTACCATGCCATACAGAGGAAGTAATCAAGTGGAGTTTCAGCTCCAGGCATGAGAATCCAGATGTCCAGCAGTTCCCTGACCTCACTATGAGCCCACAGCTTGGAATCATGAGCAAGTGTTGAAGCTGAGAAGGATATCAAGGATCATCTTCTTGATCCCCTCACTTTTCAGCTGTACAAACTGAGTCACAAAGAACTCAGAAGAGTGTGGAGTGGTGTGTAAGTTTAGGAATACATGTAATAGAGCAATGAGCTTAGTATTATGAAACCATGAAAGAGACCATCACCCATTATGTGTTGCCATGTCCTTTATATTTGCTGTACAAAGATACTAAATTTAGCTTTATACTTTCAAGTAGCTAATATAAATAGGGAAATAAAATCAGTTTCAATATTCCCTAGGTCTATAAATCAAAAAACACACCCATCACTTTAGTTAGATAGGAAGGTAGGGGTAAAGGCAGATCTGTTCCTAGTGATGAGACTGGAGAGAATTTAGCTTTTAGAGATCTTCATTGAAAGAAGTCACAGAATATAAACAATATTACAAGAAACACAGAGAGGTTTCATAAATAATTACAATTTTGCTACTTATTGAATTTTTTCTGTGGCTTGAATTTCTGTATTTTCATTAACGTAGAAATTCAAAGTGTTTAGTATTATTACACTCATTTTACCTAAGAAAACCAAGCTTTGAAGAAGTTAAGGGGTTCATTGCTTCCTATCTTTGTTACTTTTCTTGTTGCTGAGACAAAATATCTGACACTCAAAGTTAAAGGAGGAAAGGTTTATTTGGCTCACAGTTTGTAGAGGTTTCAGTCCATAGTTGGCTGGCACCAACCCAGGGTAGCATGGCAGAGAAGCATTACAGAGGAGAAAAAGTTTATGGTAGGCAGAAGGCAGCAAAGCATCAAGTGACAAGCAACAACCCTCTTTCTGTCCCTTATATTTTATTCAGGCTACTTGCCTTAGGGTGGGTACATTCACACCCAGGATGGGGCACCCTTAATTCTACCCAGAATTATGCCAAACCAATCAGTGGGCTAATTTAGCAATCATGCATCTTTGATCCCAACATCACACAAGCTAGATCCAGCCACCTTTGCAAAGCCCCACCTATGACTGTATGAGGCTTTGGGGGAACATATAGATGCAAGCCATAACAGCCACACTAATGGTGAATCCAAAATATAAATTGATGGATTGATTTCAAATCATGTGATGGGAACCAGATATGCTGTGTCCTTTGTTCAATTACTTGTTATTTTAATAATATCTGATGGTGCCACATAAAAGCACAACAATCTATGAGAGTAGCTACATTTAGCAAATAAAAATGCAAGGTGAATTTGAATTTGAGATCAACTTCAGATGAAATTCTATGCTTCAAATTCAACTTTAACTGATGTCCTCTTTCATCTGGCAACCCAATCTGAGGCTGTGGATTAAGAATATAGGCACTTAGAAAGATGAGTAGCTATAGATACACTCTGGAAATATGATTTCAGTCAGGATTCTAAAAGGCACTGAATGACAGTGAGTTCAAGATCACATTCCTTGTGTAGCTCAGCTTTATCTTGCCAGTAAATATGGACTCATTTAACTTATTTAGTGGTTCAACTAAGGTAGGATCTTATTACCTTCTTGCAAATTTTGAGGTGTCGCCTACACGCCCTTCAGGCCGTGGGGCATCACTGCTGTTCCTGCCTCAGGAGACCTCACTGGAAGCCTCTTTGGGGGATCTGCTTGGCACTGGCATTTGGTACCTCACATGTTTCCAGAACTTGGAGTTCAAGGACCGCTTGTTGGCCATGTGGTCTTCCCTCCACTTGATGGTGCCCTGTACTTGCACAAGGTGGCTGAGGGAGTCTTGAAGCCCTGCAGCCTCCAGTCTGCCTGGCGCAGCCTCCAGTCTGCCTGGCTCATCCTCTGCCTCCATCTCAATCAGAATCACCTTGGAGTCGTTCTGGATGAGGGCACAGTGCAGGGCCACCTCCTGCTCATAGGCGAACTCCTTGCTGTGTGACACGTGCGGTGTCAGGATGAACAGGTGCCGCCTGCTCTTTTGGATGCTGGCTTCCACTGCAGTGGCCACATCTGGTCACATGAGAAAGGGATTGAGATTTTTATTGCTTTTTTTAAGTCTAATGCTTGGGTCACAAATATTCTGAACATTTAAAAAATTCTCTTGTTATAAGCTGGTGTGAGATTCTGATACCAATCAAGTCACTTATTCAGAAAGTGGAAATGAACATGGATAGAGAACACATTTTTTTCTTCTCATCCATTTCCCCATGAGAATATCAGCCCCAATTCCCCCTTTGTTCTCAGGTAGATCAATTCTAAAACCATCTCCCAGATAGATGGGGATGTGGGAGCATCTAAACTATAATTTCCTGGGTGTCTTAGACTGTGCATTCACTGAAATATCCATAGACGGTTGTCAACTTAGAATATCTGCTCTTGTGCTTCAGAGGGCTCAACATTTGAACTCTCAGATGGGAAATTACAAACTCAGGCATCCTGGGCCCCTCAAACTGACATAGGCACCAGGGAGGTCCTGGATGCTCTTCATTCCCCAACAACTTCTGTTGAAGTAGCTTGTTTGATCCAGACTGGAGAAAGCCTAAGGAGAATCAGCTCTCGGTCAGTGTTAATGGAGCATCAGTACCATGGTGATTCCACCATCTCTGGGCAGACCTAGAAAACCATACGCAACACCCTGTTCTCACTGTGGCAGGTGGAAGGAAGTATATCAAAGAAACACAGCCACAACTAAGCAACTCGAGATCTTCCCAAAGAGCGGCTCCTGAAGGCTGTAAATGCTTGGAGTCCGAAATGAGAAAATGAGTGTGAGGCAATGTTGGATGGAGACTGTTGGTCAGGATCCTCCACTCTGGATGGAGGAATTATGGCATGAATTTAAGGGGTGGGTGGAAGACAGCCACCATGGGAACAGACATGCTGCGTGGCCAACCTTGATCTTTCTCCTAGGGAACAGCAGAACTCGGTGGTGTGCTTCTGGGTTTTACTCTACCTGGGTGGAGGCAAGGAGAGATCAGGGGACCAGCATTGAGGCTAAGGAAGAGGAAACCATACCAAGTGAGTGTGATGTTGCCCAGAGAGGGCAGCACTAGTTTGTGGGCAGAGAGCATCAGGCAGTCCAGTTGGCTGGAGAGAAGTGTAGCTCAAAATTTGCTTAATGGACTGAGAAAGGAGGGATGAAGAGTTTATGGCCAGCCGTCATGCACAGTGTGACTTTACAGACAACTGAGGTCCCAACAGGTCCTTGAGCACACTTGTGACATGGAAGTAGCACTTGAGGCATTACCCATTACTCTCCCTGCATAGGTGATCACTGAGACATGGGGGAACCAGGAGCCTCCTGAGAAGGATGGAATTGAATCCTCCTGAACTGTACATTTTCAGGTCTTCAGAGCCTTTACCAGGCTGTTAGTGCCACCTAGATCTTCCAGGAGGATCCAAATTCACCTGTGTGTGCCTGTCAGTCTACAGGCACTTAACCCCCCTTCTTCACTTGAAGTGCTAAATAAAATGTTGTTAGGCATATGTTCATGATATCCAGCTTCCTTCACATCCCAAATCCTTCCTGATCTTTGAGGAATTAAAGAAGAGTTTACAGGGAAAGTTAGAAGGTACTTGAAAAATATATGGAGAAAAGAGAAAAATACTGAAATTGTCACAAAACTGTCGAAAGTACATAACATTGGCTAAAAATAATAAGAAACAGAAGCCACAGCTTTAGTTCTGGTGAGAACATGTTTGTAAACATTCCACCAATATAAGGAAAATCATGAAGGCAATCTGAGCACTTTACATTTCTTTTTTAGCTAATGTTTGTGGATATCAGAACTAAATTCTTCAAATTTTCAGTCCTCTTTCAAATCTGGAGAGAATGAGGAAGTATCAGCGTCGTCCTACTGGGGGCAGTGGAAATAAAACAGAGGTAATGCCAGCCAATTCCACAAGGCTAAGGACTCCTAACTTATACTACTCCAGGCTTGTCACATTGCTGACACTCCTGTAAAGGACAGTGACAGGGATGAGCAGAACAAAAGATAAGCACTTCCTGCAGAATGATTTCAAAGCTCTGGTCTTAAGTTCTGATTGGTCAATGCAATTCCTTTTCTATTGCAGGAATAAGAGCATTTAGCCTTAGCTTTTCACTAGCTGGAATTTCTGTCTCTGATGTATGTAGGCAGCTTTACCTTCTCCGGGTAGCAGATCTCTCCCATAAAGGCATAGGTTATATCCACATTTATTTTCAAGAACATCAGGCAGAATCTGGTGGACAAAGTACTCCACAGAGCTGAGCCCCTCTGAACCATGTGTGACATCCCTTGGATATATAACATAAGCATCATAGAGCTTTCCATCTGGAGACAAAAACAGGAAGTACAACTGCATTATTTGATTCTAAACATTCTCATTTTCCTCATCAAGTTTTATGGCTGCCATTGAATGTATCTCATCCTCCCAAATACCCTAGAAGCAGATGATGGTGACAATCCACTGCCCCAAAATGTGATCAGGAAATGAGAGTCTTAGTCCCAAAGCCCTCTCCATGTGTACTGTCTCAGACTGAATGACAGCAAACAGACCAGATCTTGTCCAGGGTAGATTAGCCCATGTGGTCAGGCTTGACTGCGAACCTATCAATAAGTATTTATAGCAGTGGACAGTGTCCTGGTCCTGTGCCTGAAAGTCCTCAGTTCCAACTCTCACTCTCCCCAGACAGTTCTGAGGTACTCGGTGGATGCCTGAAACCACAGACAGTACCAGTCTCTATGCAGTAAATGCCATATTTCCCCCATACACATACACTTACAATAAAGTGTAACTTATGAATCAAACACAGTAAGAGATCAATAATAATAACATATTAACATAAGAAAATCATAACAATATACTCTAGTAAATTTACCGGCATCACTGCCCTTGCAAATTAGGACCACTAGGGAGGTAAAGTAAGGATTACTTGAACAGAGGCACTGTGAAACTATAACTATTCATCTGATAACCAGGACAGCTACTGCCTCATGGGTAGGGAGCAGGGACAGCACAGACACATTAGGCAGAGGGGTGATTTGAGTCACAGGAGCCAGAGTGGAGCCTTGTGAGATGTCTTCATGCTACCTAGAAGGATGTGCACTTTATAATGTGTTTTCTATATTTCTGGAATTTTCCAAGTAATCTTTTTGGATCTTAGTTGGCTTGGGTAACTGAAATCACAGAAAGGGAAGCCAAGTACAAGAGGGAACTACTATGCTTCCGTGGAAGAAGGGAAAAATGCTACAGGCTAATAATGACAAGGGAAGAGAGTTTCTGAAGGCATCTGAATTCACCATAACTCAAACACTTAGCTACTAGTTGCATGGGCTCTGTACAAAACTCTAACCAATGATTGCTTCTAAATGAAAGACTAGTGTCATCCTTAGGGGGGAAAACCATTCTCCTTTCTGTATGCACTTATGTACATGTGTACACATGTACAGAACAAGGGCTCTGATAAATCTGTCTGACACACCTACCTCACTTGTTCATATCTGGAAAGCAGGAAAAATTTTGTGGCTGTTTTATTTCATCAGGTTTTACCAACACACATTTCCCAAGATATTGAAACCTTTCTGGGCTTGGGAAAATCCTTTGGGAAGTTGGTAGCAACATCAGCCCTATTGGGGAGGAAGCTTGGGTTGTGGAGATGAATCACAGAATCTCAGGGATGGGTAGAGCAGTGTGGAAAATGGTCTCTTGAGTAGACTCAAAAAAAATCAATGAAAACCAAACAGCCAGGAAAATGGGCTCAGCAGCATGACTAGTAAGAGATTAATAAGTTAGTAACCAATAGTCATTTTTGAAGAAATCCTTGAAACATGCCACTTACCATTCCTTGTTTTGTAAGGTCTGGTTAGATCTCTCCAGAGCAGAATAAGATCAATCCAGAACACTTTCAGTATTATCACAGTGAGATTGATTAGCATTAGCAGGATACTACATCCTGCAGCTATGTAGTAGATGCTTTGACAACCAACTATCAAAAGGTGATGGGAAGGAGAAAAATGATAATTAGTGTAATTAGATAAGATAAAATGGATACATGCAGAGATGCCAGACTCTACTAGAAGTATGAGAGATTCACCCCTAAAAGTCCCACCTGAAATTTTTATAGCTGTTTAAAAACAAGTAAATGGATGCTTCTTGAGCTCTTACTCTATACAAGGCACCAGTCTAGGTATCACAGTGGGTTCTCAAGGGCAAAGGGACAGAGTCACACTGAAACCTAACTAACAGGAGAGCCAAGGATGAGGTTTTAGTTGATGAAGACATTTAGAAGAACTCACTCCATGTTGGGCTCGGTAAGAAGGTCCCTGCCGGGACCAGGCAGAAAAGAAAACGCCCTTGCCCAGACAGGATGCTGTGAGCTGAAGTGTGGACATGGTAATGTGTTTATAAGGAACCTGAGTATCCAGTTTGGGGAACACACAAAAGATAGGATTGCAAGATGGGTCAGGGTTAGATTTGACCAGACTTAAAAGCCCTGCTAAGCTTCTGCCTTATTGTGAAGATTCAGAAGCAAAAGGAGAGAGTTAGTTTGATCATTAACAATGAAAGTGTTTTTCAGGCACGACTAAGCTGATGGTAGTGGAAGGTTAGTTTCTGTGGAGAGAGATTGCAGGGGCTCAGCATAGAATAGGGTGCAATATTTGAGAGTGCATTTGATGGGGAAGTCAGTCACTGGGTTCTAGCCCTACTGAGCTCTTCCTCCCCGATGGTGACCTTCATTTAGCCATCACTGAATGTTACCCCACACTCCTAGCCTCCCAAATGTGTGTGCAAGACCATTTCCATCCTCAAGGACTTCTAACAGAAGTGTGCAAGTTGAATCATAAGAACTGTGATTATTCATAGTACTCTTGGCTGTGTTAAGCTTACTTTGCTCTTAGAGTGATTGCCTATCCTATCTAAGAAATGGCCCTGCTTAAAGATAAGCATGAGAAGAACCTCAAATGAGGTTTGCTGTTAGGGGTTTTTTTTTCATTTTAGTCTAAAATTTCAATATGTAGGGTCCTGGGTATGACAATGAGAATCACTGGCCAGTATTCACGAATTCTTCCACCACTCCCAATGGTCCATCCACTATGTGAGGACCCAGCACTATGATCAAGGATGATCAAGGGGAAGTTGACAGGAAGAACTGAAAATTGGCAAGGAGCTTACTGTTTAAATGATAAACTCTCTAATTCACTTCACAGGGCTATGTAAACTCCTGCCTGGATACATGCCAGGGATGTAGACTCCTTGGGAGGTTATATGCATGTGGTTGGATGCTTCAGTGGGAGAAAGAAAGTGGTTCAAGACATCGAAAACTTGAAGTTCAATATCTGCCTAAGCATTAATGATTTCATAAATCTACCGGCAGTTCTTATATATGATAATGAAACACTAAGTGATTCCTGTAAATGTTTATAAAATGAAAGGGCTAGCTCTCTAACTACGGGTCACAGCAAGTCATTCAACTATCTTTGCCTTTATTTCCTTATCTACAGAAGTAGATGATAGTAACAGTCTCTAGCTTGTGAGATATTGAGAAAGCAATTGAGACATTTAAATATAAAATAATTAGGGTCCAGGATGTAGAAAATAATGCATATATGTGTGTCCTATTATTATTATGAGCTTCATTTATTTAATAGTATTTAGTAAATCAGAGACAAGCTTTTTAAAAGAATTCACTATGAAAATTCAATAGCATCACAGACAATTTTTGTTTAATTTACACAGTTGTTAAAACAGTGCAACTGTGTTAACTTGAAGAAAAACAGTTGAAATACAAATAAATGAGAAAGTACAAAAATCACATACACAAAAATGAGTACATTCGCAATACACAGGTAACAAGAAATCAATCATCCATAAATGATAATGTAAGCAAAGTGCAGGAGGAGAAACAAAGCAGCTGTATGTGGGGCATATGTAGTTGTGTACGTTGTTTTACCCTTCCTAAAGGATCCAGTGTGCCCACCTCCACCCCATGGCATCCTGGTATGGTCCACAGTCATACTGGTGACACAACTATCCTCAGCCAAAGCCTAATGCCCTGCTGAATAAGATGACACTGAGTGCTCTGTGTGAGCTGTGACTGTTTTATACAACCTTATAAAGCAGGGATCAAGGTCAAAACTAAAACAAGAAAAATCTCAAGGCAAAGACTACCTCAGATAGAGACCTCCCATGACCACATCAAATTAACGACCTGCCCTCCACTGTGATCCTTCGGAGCTCCTGTCTGTCTGTCAGATAAACCTGGGCCATGCTGACACTTGGGGAGGAGCTCAGAGTTCAACCTTCTTCTTGACTACTTAACAAATCCTAAATAATGTCTATGTAGTTGCACTGACACTTGTGGAGTGGGTATATAAACACCCTATCTTTTTCTCTGCCCTTTTCTATATGTTCAAATGCTTCATCTAACAAACAGGAAGGCTTTTCCTGGAGATGCAAAGATCAGGGGAGGACATGGACAAGAGGCCAGGCTTGGGAGGAACCAGACAGAGGCACCAGGGCTTGGGGTCAGGGCCCCAGGGAGGAGCCTTTCAGAGCTGATGTCCAGTGACACTGCTAGGGACAGGGACAGAGAAAAGCATGTGGACTTGCAGAAAGCTCCATTCATGGTTTGAGTCCTCTGTAGGCAATGTGTCCTCCCTTGGTTACCTATGGCTGGGAGGGTTAGCTGAGGAGGCAGCTGAAGGTTGAAGAGGAGTCCAAGAAGAAGGAGGAGGAGGAAGAGGAAGAGGAGGAATTAAACACTCCAAAAGGCCAGAATGCAAATAGCACCTCCAAGAGGAGATGCACCCCATATGCAACAGGCCATTTACATGGTCTTGATGGAATCAAATTGCTGTCCGCTAGGAAAGCCTTTCAGCTTAATAGTGGATGTAGCAAACCAAGGTGACCAGTGTCTCACAAACACTCCTTACTTGGCTTTTTCTCTGTCAGCCTCGTGGTGTGCCGTATCACCCCATGGAAATTCGTGGCCAGACAGTCATACTGCAGGGACAAATCCTCTTCCTTCACTTTGGTTATTCTTAACATGGCGTTGAGACAAGTGTCATTGCTAAAACTGAAAAGGCAACTTATTGTGTGTGTATGCTTGTGTATTTGTACTGGGGATCAAACCCATGGATGTTCTGCCACAGAGCCCCTTTTATAAGTTTATTTTTCAAATTTTGAGACAGAGTCTCACTAAGTTGTTCAGGTAGGACTTGAATTTGCAATCCTCCTGCCCCAGCTTCCCAGTGCTGGGATGACAGGTGTGGACAACCATTCCTGGCAACTTGTTACTTTTAATGCTTCCTTTGCAGGTGCCAATTGTCTGGGAAGGGGACATTCCAGGGGAATGTTGTGATTTCAATACAAAAATACCTTCGATTTTGCACTTGTTCCTCTTGAATTCTTGCTATTCCCAGGTCCTTGACATTGCTTCCATTCACCTGCCACAGGACAGCAATGAAGGACTGAATCCCACTCCCAAAGCAAGCTATGCAGGTGATGTTTGCTGCCTTTCCTGAGTGAGAAGCAAAGAAATTCACCAATCAAATAAATTCTGCAAGCAATCTTTCATGTCATTTAAGGTGACAAAAGTCCACGGACGGCCTAACTGTCCCGTGGTTCTTCCTGTTGGCTTTGCTCATCTCCAGAACCATCTTCTCTGCCCTCTCTCAGCTTCTTCCTCACTTCAGTGTCTCCTCTTCCTTCACCCACAGCTAAGCTGGAAGCTCAGCTCCCATCCAGCTCTCACCTCTGGGAAACTAAAAGGCAGGGAGATGACTCTGCCTCCACAGCCTCTCATGATCATGTAGGATTTCTGGGGCTAGAAGTTGGAGTCAGTTGTATCTGATCCCCTCCATGCCTTTGTCCTTCAGCTGAACCCTCTTCATCTCCCCAGGAGCTCCCTTTGTTTTACCCAACCCAGGCATCATCCTGGACCCAACCATCCACTCTCCAGCATGTGGTCCCGACCCCTTGAACTTGAGGTTTCCGCCTTCTATAACTGCAAGTGTCAGGGCTTTAGTTGGTCATGGATGTGCCTTCAGCCATCCCTTTCTGACCCCTTGGTCTCATCATGAGAGGCTCAAGGAGCTCTTCAGGGAGGGGAGGTGGTAGAAAGAAGTGGTTGGAGCACATGGGCTGCAGGACACTAACAGAAAGACATACTCAGAGGTCTGGGCAACAGAGGGAGAAGATGCAGAGAGTGTGGTTATCACACTACCCATGGAAATGGTATGCTGGCTTTGAGGGGAGAAGGAGGCTGGGGCCCTGCTCTTTGGAAGGGAAGAAAGATGGTGTGGGGGGACAGCACACGAGAGACGAGAAAGGAGGAAAGACAAGGGCAAAGTCTGAAGGACCAGGAAGAGCACCACTCATGGGTGAGGCAGTGTGTGGGCTTGATGGCTACAGATGTGCCTGGAGGGCAGGGAGGACCCAGTCAATGATGCTGGTTCATCCACTAACACCTCTGAATCCTACCTACTCCTCCTAAGAACCAGGAAAGCCAGGGACAGAAGTAGCCAGAAGTCTGTCTTGTCATTCTTTCCATGACCTTGGATGTGCCCTTAAACATCTTTGAGCCCAACTTTTCTCAAAAGCATAGTAGAAATGACATGTACCTCTGGGATAGGGGTTAGAACGAAACTCAATGCAAACACGAAAGCACCATGAATTATGAAGTGCAGTACACTTCTCAGCCCAGCATATTTCTGTGCCATGGTTTAAACACTAACAAGTGACTGGGGCAGGCACCGTATTTCCACACCATCACCTCACTCATGGAATCCTCACGTGCCCTGTACTAACTACCTGAACACAGCTAGAGCATTCACACCACGCCCAGGTCACAGCGAAGAACTTTCCAGGTTGCCCAGCATTCTTTCACAATTTTCTTACCAATTTCCACTTCCTTTGTTTCATTATATGAAGGGGTCACAATCACTGGAAACACAGAAACTCCTGGCTTATCTTAAAAGTAAAAACAGAAGGAGAATATGAGTATAAAGAGAGCACTGGATCGTCATCAGTATAAAGTTGTCCTTTCATATTTTTCTTATTTCATAACAATGTTCTCAAATTTTTCTAGGCAGCACAAGTACACACATGTACAAATGAAACAAAAAGAACACTTAAGTAATACTTTATCATACTACCTGTGATATGCTTTGATGTTTTCTACTCCCTTTTATGTCACCAAAACAAATGCTAGTCTGAAACATTAACTGTGTGACCTAGCTTCTTCATGGGCATCAATAGACCAAGCTGGTATGTATTTGATCAGCTATGATTGTGAACTCTTTCCCCTAAACAGACTTTAAAATACTTAAAAATATATTTTTTAAAAAGTGTATTTTATAAATAAGTAGTCTACTTGAGGGCATTGGTCATGTCAAAAGCTCCGCCAACCAGGGTTGAAAATCATAGCACAATATTTATATATCTCCACCCTCCACAAAAGCAAGTTACATGTTTGCAGATTCAACCAACTAGAGATTGAAAGTATTAGGAAAAACTTGCTTCTGTCCTACACATGTGCAGACATTTTTTTCTTGTCATTATTCTTGAAACAGAATTGTACAGCAGCTATTTACATAGCATTTAGATTGTGTTAGGGATGATAAGTCATCTAGAGATGATCTAAAAGGGACAGGGTGCATAGGTTTTATGCAAACACCAGGCCATTTTACATAAGGGAATTGAGTATCTGAGGGTTTGGGAATCTGAGGGAGTCTTGGGATCAAGCCCTCACAGATAGCTGTACCACCATTCAAAAGAGTAAAGTACATTAGCATTTAGACTGCTTGGTCTTTGGAAAAGTAAGTTAGAAATAAAATAGATGTGGCTTTGGATCAGTGATCTCCCTTCGAATTTCTAAAACCTTGCTAGTGAATCAGGAAATGTCTGTCACCAGAAGCAACAGAGAAGAGGGTGAGGTGCAGGGAACTCAGCAGTCATCTTAGTTTAAACGTCTGATTTTGTTAAACGTCACAACTTACCTTTAACGGTGAATGATCTGGTTGCTGTCACACTATAATTGACTCCACTTTCAGTATGTGTAAATTTACACGTGTAATCACCTTCATCATCACGCCCCACATTGTCAATGAACAAATATGACCTGTGTGTCCTGTACCTTGATCCATGAAGAGCTTTACAGTTCTGGAACAACAAAAACAATCCCTTTCCCTTTTCAGTAATCCTCCCTTTGCATCTATTTTAATTATTCAATTTTTACTGATTCCTCACCCCCATTCAAATGTCCTTGTACCTTAAACCACTTAAGAGGTGCTGTCCAGTTGTAGAGGTCAATTGTGGGACAATATATTCTGGAATTTCTTTCTGATCCAGATACTGTTGAGTACATCAAATAATCTGGAATGTGACAGTCTGTTGGTCTTTTATAGATGGTGACATTTGTATGTCTAGTCTTATTCCAAGTGGGACTATTAAAATAAGATAATTAGAAAGTTATTTAGCATTGTGAAATAACTTCACTCAGCTCTAGTTTTTGCTCAATTTTGCTTTTCTTCTTAAAACAATGATACACACTGGTTCTTTTTTATTGAAAATAATCACTCAAATCTTGAGTTTTAAATACTTTTTTGTTACTCTTAAGATAAAATATAGGCCCTCTGCTAGCCCTAAAAATGACTCCATTTCTTCATGTACTACATCTGCTGTAATGGTCTGATCGAATATGACAGCACTTAAGTTCCTAAAAGTTCTCTTTCATTCAAATCAACTTATAAATTCAACTGTCCCACAAAGAAGTGGAGAAAGAAGTCAAGTTTGGGTAGCTGAGACCACCCCCCACTAATGACAGGCTTAAAGATTAGGGTGACTTCCTGAATGATACCTTCTGATAACACAAGTATAAATTCCAGAATCGCCCACTTTGGCTGGGAGAAACTTAAGCCACTCCCCCGAAGCAAAGACTCTATTTCTTTTCTGGGTAGGAATGTTTTCATTTGTCTTCATGTAATACCAGTCCACAGGGTAACGGGATCCTCCTTGTTTTGGACATCTCACAAGTAAAGCTTCATTTTCCTGGCCCCATGATGATTTACCTGCAAATAAAAAATATACAGATGGCTCTGAAACAATCATATGCAAAGGTCATAATTCCGATGCTGCTGATATTTCCATCTAAAATTAAATTTTAAAATGCATTGTATGTTGTAGTATTTGGAGAAAGACTAAGTAAATGATTAAGGTCTTTTATGAAAAGCTTTATTGGGTACCACAGAGTAATGAATTAATGTAAAGCTAAGTCTCTCCCACTGCTTAAGTGGAAAAGCATCCTTGTCTACCTGAACAAATTACATGTCAGTCAACAAATTCCCCATAATACCTGTTAGGTGTGGGCATTGTGTTAAATTCTGGCTATTTGAATATCTGACAATTATTATATATTTATTATGGAAAATTTCTTCTTTCAGACTCATGATAAAGAATAACTACAGAACAAAAAATTATTTTTCCAATTGCTAATTCAGCTGGAACAATCAGAAGCAGGCAGTTTAGAACAAACGTTCTTGGAATTACTTAACAATTTTTTAAACGGTGGCTGTAGAACAATACTTATTACCTTTAGCTGCTGTGAAATATATGGGAACTGTTAGAATTGCCAAGATCCAAAGCCCCTTTCTTGGTTTATCATTTATCAAATGTTGGTTACTCATAGTCAAGGTTGTTCCAGAGCAATTGATGACCCAGGAGGGTGGCCGCCTCGGCTAAGGTAGGTGGTGTGCAGCGCTGAGCAGGGCTTAGAGTTGGGAAGAAGAATCAATGTTTCCAGTGAGAAACAAGTCACACAAAACCACAAGCAAAACATTTGGGTAGTCATGCTTTTTATACACTCAAGACCTTCCAAGAAAATCAATCAATGCATGTTTATTAAGTATACATATGGTTAACAGCAAGTTTCAGACACACAGTGTTGTATTTATTCCTACTGTACCTTTGGGCCATATGACTCTTCCAGTGATCAGACTATTTCACAATTCTGTTTTACTAGTCTCATGGGAATGTGCCCAAAGAAGCCAAATCAAGGGGAAAGAAAATGAATTTTTATTTAAATAATTAAAACCGTAAAGTTCAGTAGACTCTAGAAAATGCAGTATTATATAAAAGCACAGACATCTGCCCAACACACAAGCAAATAATCATCATAAAACAACCAAGGAATAAAGAAAAACTAGAACTAAAGCATTAGCCAGAAATTATCCAAAAACTACCACAAACACTCAAATATTTGTTCCCGCTTCAGCTTGTCCCCAAGAGTCACCAAAGGCCCTCAGAATATTGAAGGTCTGTGAATAATAATTAAATCCTTTTTCATTTTTCTTTCAGCTAAAAATTCATTTCTTATTCCTTTTCTATTTAAACACCAGGAGAGGAATGGAACCGATATAGAAATTTAGGTACATAAGGAATAAATACAGCAACCATAAAAATCTTCAAGAAAGCACATTTAAACACAAATTTTTGTTATTTTTCTTATTACAAACCTCAGGTAAGGGATTGATGCTTACCCCAAATGAAGGGCTAGAGGGAATCAGCCCCACACCACTGGCCAACCTAAGAATAGATTTCCACCCTCCTGGATTTCTGTCTTGTAGACTGTCTATGCAGAAGCAGTCTCTCTTTTATTTTAAACACTCAAAGACATCTGGCAAATTACCACTCCGCCCACCATAAAATCTGACTTTTAGCCAAAATCTGTGACTTGTTCAAAACTACTTGTACTACATGTGCTAAGAGATCTTGAACTAAGTACATAAATATTTAAGCCTAAGGACAACACTGAATGGTCCCTTTGAAAACAAGTACTCAAATCATTTCTCTGTTTTAGCATTAGTTGCTCAGGCTGAATAATGAAGACTGCTTCTTGTTTATTTCCTGATAGGATAGCACTTTTGGTTCCAAATGGTCTGGACATTGTGGGGCTTGAGGCTTCCAGGTACCACTTGATACCTTTGCAAGACTCTTGTCAGAAAGGCTCAGCCAGCTTTGGTGCAGAGAATTTCAAAATCAAAGCGAGGGAGCCAGCCACAGAAGTAACTAGGGCTTCGAGGATTACTAGAAAAGCTCTGTCTGTCATCCAGAAGGTGTCTCAGCTTCTCTCCAGCAAGATCCAGCTCCCAGCTTCCACTCCCAGTGGGACTCTCAGCTTGAGTGAAAAAAAGGATGAGTGTAGATAAGAAGTTCCTTCCAAAATGACAAAGCTATAACCTCAATTCCTTGTTCCTTGTAAAACAATGATTAATGGCAAATTCAATGTTATCTTCACAAGGAATTCACTCACTTTCAAATCACCCCCGCTGGGAAGAACTCAAGGACAAATTCCAGACCAGCACAATAGTAGATTAATAACAGTTTACCTGCAGGTAGAACTTACTCTACATCATCTGCAGGTCTAAAGGGCAAAACGTACTAAAGCCTTCATTCTTAAAACCACCCAATGAGACACGCACTTTGGTTACCACCCCATCATACACACTAGGAACCTGAGGCACAGGTTTCCCCAAGCCATAAAACCCTGAGAAGTTAAAGGCAGAGGTCGAATCCAAACAAGCAGTCTCCAAAGACAAGAGTCATTATCAGGTCATGCTGTCACCCAGTTTGGAAGAGAGGATGCCTTCCTAAGAGGGGTTCTAAGGAAACATTTGAGTCTGTTTCTTGTAGCATCTTTGCTCCTGCTGTGCCTGGAAACTAGAGGCACTGCTGATCTACACAGGAGTTTAATCGGCCCTTGGATATGGGGTCAAGTTCTGCAAGGAAGAGATGCCAAGTCATTTGGCTTCCGGGAGATGGACCATGAGATGTTTGATGTAAATCTGAGGACTTGTATCTGCTCATAGCTCTTTTTGATTCATAGAATTGACATCATTGGATCAGGAGGCCTGAGATCACAGCTCAGGTCCTAGTGCCTTTGGAACCTACTTGGGCTTCCATGAGCATTAGATAAAGGTTTGCTAAGTAAAATAATATGAACTCAGAGTTGTTTTTTATTTTGTGTCCTGAAACATGTTCTTAAAATATCTGTTAAAGATGGACATTTATTTACTAAATGAGGCCACATGTACATTGGTCTGATGGCTTTAAAAGTAAGGTATCAATTGGAATTTTAATGTAATAATCACAAAATTCTGCAGAAGCCTTTGACAGAGTCTAATTGTTGTTGTGAAATAATTCAACCACCCATTTGATAATTAAGGATTTTTTCATTCAAAGTATAATACTCTCAATTTTAAAAAATAGTTAAAAATAAAATACAGTAAAATACTGTATATTACCTGTCGCTATCATCATTCAAATTTTACAGATTAAAATGAAAACTCTAGGTGAGGATGGGTTAAATAAATTGACCATGCTCACCCAGTTTTGATGGGTGAGCTTAAAACCAGACTGTTACCAGTTAAAGCCAGACATTCTGAAACTCAAGCCAAGGCAGGTTTTAGGTCTTCCTAATGTCAACTAAAAGTAAGAGAAATTATAGTGGTAAAACTTTCCTTCTTATAATTGAGGCTGAGTTACTAAAGAAAGTAAGTTGGTCTAATGTTCCTTATGCCTCTGCTTAAAAAAATACCTACACTATTTTGGCTTCTAACTACTCTGACACCATCCCACATAGAATATGATAATGGATAATGTATGGACAGAAACATGAAATAAAATGTGAAGGGTAAGGACTTATGATAAACAAATCAAGCAAGAGATGTGAAGCAGCCATGTATTTCTGCAAGTTAATTAGAATTCTTCCAGTGTCTGCCTGTTTCCTAGGCTAATACCCTCTTTTTAAGACTTCTTATAACCACTCTACATTTTCAAAATCAATCTAATTAAATCCAACTTGATTCTCTTTTTCCTGATTTTGGGTCACAGTTTTGAAATCTTATATGTTCCTACTTATAATCAACTTCTTTAAAATTGTCCCTGAAAAACATAAATAAAATAAAACTTCTATGGCCAGAGGAACAGCTAGCTGCTGGCACATGGACAATGGCCCTCAAATATTTTTCAACTTGGACAACATTACATGATGCTTATTCATCTGAGTTGGCCAATGTCACAGCTATGTGCAAGCTACAGATGTCAAAACATTCCAGGGCTTGCTATGTGCCTCTCTTACTGTAAGTCAACTCAGAGGCCAGGAAATTGTTACTTTAGACTTTCGTAAGGGGTCAGGAATTCTCAGTAATTCTTACAAGAGCAAGCAGGGGGCAGATTCCCCCCACCACCACCCACCCACCCATTTTACGGGAAAGCACTTTATTATTTTCATTATTAAAAAAATTTAATGAAAATTTCTCATGAATAGAAAAAAAATTGACAGGTAGGGAATAATACGTGATAACTTCAAACAAGGTATGTTTTTCCTGTTAAAAAAAAGCTTTAATTAGAAATTTCCAAGCTGCAAATACATCGTTTAAAACCTGAATGTCACTGTGCAAATCCATTATTTGAGCAAATATTGCATTTATTCAAAATGATGGCTTCTTATTTTTCTCACTAGTACTGCAGGTCTTCCCAAGCATTGACATTTTCACTTTCCAGTCTTTTGGGGGTTTTTTTTAGCTTTTTTTATTAGTCCGTGTTTGCAGTCCATGCAGCTTATAATCGTCTTGGGGAGTGGATCCATGATCACACAGCAGCTTGTTTCTTTTTTTCATAATCCCATTTCCCTTCCCCCCTCCTCCCTCCCACCTCCTCCAATTCCCCATCCCTATTTTCATTCTTGTTGTATTATTAATCTTAGCTCATGTTATGACATATAATGTTTACAGTCATTGGGCTTATTAGGTTCCTGGATATGGCATATCTTTATTCTACTTATGTCTCCTTCCCTCCTCCTCATTCCTAACCTTTGTTCCCTTGGACCACTTCCTTGTTCTCAAGAATCCATCTCCTTGTCCCCTTCTATCCATCCTTTATTAGTCTCTTTGTACTTTACCTCACTCAAATGTGAGATACCATACAATATTTAAGCTTGTTTGTCTCAGGTACATCCATTTTCCTACAAATGTGTCAAATGTGTGACTCTTTATAGGTGAGTAGTATTCCATTATACAGTGGTACCTTGGTTCATGAACTTAACTCTTTCCACTATTCTAGTGGCAGAATTAATTTTATGATTTGGTTGCAACTGAATTGCAAGAATGTGGAGTGAATTCTGCCACCAGAATCATGGAAAGAATTAAGTTTGTGAACCGAGGTACCTCTGTATATAGATGACACATTTTCTTTATCAAATCATCTGTTGACTGTTACACAGGCTGCTTTCAGGACTTAGCTATTATGAATTCTGCTGCTATAAACATTGGTGTGCATGTATTGCTGTAGTATGATGTCTTAAACTCTTTGGGGAAGATACTTAGCAGGGAGATCGCTGGGTCATATGCAATTTCTAATTTCAATTATTTGAGAAATCGCCATTCTGATTTCCATAATGGTGGCATTAGTTTGCATTCCCACCAACAATACTGGAGGATCCTTTTTTCACCACAGCCACACTTGCATGTGTTATTATTTGATTTCCTAATGATTATCACTCTTTCCAGAATAAGATGGAATTTTAGTTTTGTTTTAATTTGCATGTCTCTAATGGCCAGAGATGTTGAACATTTTTCCATCTATTTGTTAACTATTTGTATTTCTTCCTCTGTAAAGTGTCCAGTTGTTTCTCCTGCCCATTTTGAGAGAGCACTTTAGTTGCCATTCTTTCTTTCTTTTCCTAATGAACTGTGGGCAGTGCCTGTGGCA